ATTCAGTGAGAACAGCACCACCTACAGGCCTGGCATATGTACTACAGCGTCTCTAGCGCTTTCGAACGGCAATGGCCGTGGCTGTCTCCTCCTGATTGGTGGAGTTGGCCCAATAGCCGTAGCGCCACCGTCCTGACGTCAGGACAGTGTTCAAATCTGGATCAGTTTTTATCAGATCTGTTGCAGCCCCTTTTTTAGAGATTTGGGTATGGAGGAAAATAGAGAGGGTTGTGTTTTCTGACACTTGGTGAGTTCCCTGGAACACCGGGGACACATATTCATGTAGAAAAGACGTACACAAGTGCATTTTGCATGATAGGTCCCCTTTAAGTTAAATATTAATGTTAAATGTACAGTTATTCAAAGAGAAGCTATGGAGCAGAGAGTTCCATGTAGAGCTGGGAATACTTTGCATTTCTCTAATTCTACGTGTATTACCGTAACAATATGCGTATATTTCCATCCCTAAATGATTCTGCAACCATTTTTTCGTCTTCCTAACAAGCCCCTTTTGTCTGTTCCTCTACAGATTCAGATCAAAGATTTCCGTTTCTCCTACAAGTTCAAGACGGCCTGCAAGGAGGACGTCCTCAAACTGTGTCCCAATATCAAGAAGAAGTAAGACACGTAAAAACTATTTGCAGCTTGAAAAAAAACTCCTTAAATTCTCTCAGATTTTACACAAAAAACACAAGCAAAGAAATGACGACTTACTCGCTTTGGGAGCTTCGTTTTCATCCCAAAGTTTTTATTCTAAACGACTTCAAGTTGAGCTTTGGGAGGAGTATTATGTGACAAAAGGTCCTGAGCTCAAAGGTGGAACATGGACTGTTTCCAGGTGTTTTTGTAGACGTTTTTCGGTCAGTTCCCGTCCCTAAAACTCCTCCTGAGGTTTCAGACTGGGAACTGAATTATAATGTTAGCCGCCAACACACAGTTTCCACCGGCCGGTCCAGAAGACACTGAGCAAAGTTGAGAAAGAGGAAAGAGGGAGGCTTTAAGTACGTTAAAAACTAAAGGAATCTGGGTTCCCTAATGTTAAAAGCAGGTTTCAGTATATAGGAGACACTGCAGGTGAATGGGTTAAAAAATATCAGATATCACCATGAAACTTCATTGCTGACTTCAACACCTTTCCTTTTTATATTACAAGTTTTCTGTGTGGCTATGTTTAAATATGCTAATGAGGTATTATGTATTGATAGCTGATGGTTCATTCAGAATCAGAAATCATTTATTTGTCCCACAATGTGGACATTTAGTAGCAGGAGGAGGGGATATTGCCCTTGCAAAAAGTTTTATATTTACAGACAGTGTTATTGCATCAGGGGTATTCCAGTCTATGTGTTTGGAGGTCTACCAGGGGCTGTGCTGGTTGTGCAGTCTGACCGCTGCACAGGGGTGGGAAGTAGTGGAGGACAAATACTTTGTTACGTTAAGTACATGTTTCTGGTATCAGTACTTTACTCCACTACTTATTTTTCTGACTACTTTTTACTTTGACTTCTTACATTTTGAACACAAATACCTGTACTTTCTACTTCTTACATGTTGAACACAAATACCTGTACTTTCTACTTCTTACATGTTGAACACAAATACCTGTACTTTCTACTTCTTACATGTTGAACACAAATACCTGTACTTTCTACTTCTTACATGTTGAACACAAATACCTGTACTTTCTACTTCTTACATGTTGAACACTAATACCTGTACTTTCTACTTCTTACATGTTGAACACAAATACCTGTACTTTCTACTTCTTACATGTTGAACACTAATACCTGTACTTTCTACTTCTTACATGTTGAACACAAATACCTGTACTTTCTACTTCTTACATGTTGAACACAAACTCTTTAAAACAGCTGCTAGTTATGGGTACTTTTTACTGAAGTACATTTCAAAGCCCTCTTTACTTTTACTTGAGTAAAGAAGTTTAGTCAGTACTTCTACTTTTACCAGAGTATTTTTAAACACGAGTATCTGTACTTCTACTTGAGGAAAGGATGTGTGTACTTTTGCCTTCTCTGCCGCTGCAGGAAGGAAGGACCTGCGGTTCAGCAGCCATCACTTTCTCTGTTAAATCCCAACTGATCTGAGTCTCTGATCTTCAGTGTAAAGACTAACCCGGTGTTCCCCTCCTCAGGGTGGACGTGGTGATCTGCCTCAGCACCACGGTGAGAAACGACACGCTGCAGGACGTCAAGGAGCAGCGAGTTTCCATCAAGTGTCGCAAACAGCTGCGGGTGGAGGAGGTGGAGATGGTGCGTTCACTGACCTCTGAATTTTCTGAAGATTGTCCTTTTCTCCTCTCTGCTTGCACAGATTTTAAAGTGTCTTGTTCGTTTGTTGTCTCTGCAGTCGGAGGATATCCGTCTGGAGCCGGAGCTTTACGACTCGTGCAAGCCCGACATCACCAGGCTGTGTCAGAACGTCGCCTTCGGAAACGCACAGGTCAGTGGATACAAATATATTGATTTATTTAAAGGGGACCTATCATGCAAAATGCACTTTTGTACGTCTTTTCTACATGAATATGTGTCCCCGGTGTTCCAGGGAACTCACCAAGTGTCAGAAAACACAACCCTCTCTCTTTTCCTCCATACCCAAATCTCTAAAAAAGGGGCTGCAACGGATCTGATAAAAACTGATCCAGATTTGAACACTGTCCTAACGTCAGGACGGTGGCGCTACAGCTATTGGGCCAACTCCACCAATCAGGCGGAGACAGCCACGGCCATTGCCGTTCGAAAGCGCTGGAGACGCTGTAGTACATATGCCAGGCCTGTAGATGGTGCTGTTCTCACTGAATCTGCCCTTACACAAGCAGAGCTAAAAAAAATTGTCAAATTGAGCGAAATGAGGCATGGCTAAAATGCATGATCTGTTTGGTATTTTGAAAAGAAAAAAGTATAAATATGCCTTATATAGGTATGGTCCTACACTATATTATTCAAATATAGCATGATAGGTCCACTTTAAGGGACTTTTATTTAATGACTCCACATTTATCAATTTAAGGGACTTTTTATATATTATTCTACAATAATTTCCCAGCTCTTTGTAATTCCATCTGTTATATTCCAAATAATTAAAACAAAGCCAATTGAGAATGAAATGTGCCATTTAAGAAACACAGTTAAAGTTATATTACGTAAATGTCATCAAAATATCTGAAGGGGAAAATATTAGGTTCAAAGAGGGTAAAGAAAAATAATGCAGACATTTTATTTTGGTGCAAATGAAACTTCATTGGAAAGTGAAGAAATTGAATCTTAAATGTAAAGTGTGAATGTTTGAATCTGTGACTGTGTCTTTGTGTTCTCAGTTTATAATCCACTTAGAGAGATATGAGATGTCCTGCAGCACAAATTCAATCACACATCACACACTTTAAAATGTGTCTCTGCAGGTGATCGAGTGTCTGAAGGAGAACAAGCGTCAGCTGACTCAGAGATGTCACCAGAAGATCTTCAAACTGCAGGAAGTGGAGATGGTGGATCCAGAACTGGACTACCAGCTGATGAGAGTCTGCAAGCACATGATCCGGGTAATTATGATGTATTCACTTCCACAAGGACCGTGCATACAAATACATTCATCTCAGAGAAGAGAAGAGAGATGTGAGCTAATGGCTAATGTCCATCTGCAGTCCTTAGGCAGGTACACAACAATCAACAATCACTACAAACATGGCATCCTCTCTAAACCAGTGAAACCAGCACATCATAACAACACATCATATTTATATAGCGCGTTTCTCAGCGCTCTAAATAACAGCAATAACAGTCCTTAGCTCAGTGACAGAAGGGGAGAGGAGTAGAGGGTGGAAGCAGAGAGAGAACAGGTGAGTTTTAACGTCAGGTCATTGAGCTGAAGCTTTTCTCCAAAGCAACTTAGCATATGTGCTAGCAACCATGAGGATACCAACTCCAGACCAGCTCAGACCTGCAGGTGCGTTAGCCTCAATAAGACGAGCCTTTCTAATGGCAAACAAACAGAAATGGGAGTTTTTTTAAATATTTGAACAGCCAACGAACCGACGGGTTTTCAGTGAAATAAAGAACGGAGCAAAAGGAAGGAGCTTGTATTAAATGACTACTTTATTTAATTTGCGCATGTTTTAACAGCTCTTTGTGTGTGTGTGTGTGTGGGTGTGGGTGTGTGTGTGTGTGTGTGGGTGTGTGTGGGGTGTGGGTGTGGGGGTGTGTGTGTGTAGCGTTTCTGCACAGAGTCGGAGGGGAAGAACACTCTTCAGTGTCTGAAACAAAACAAGAACAGCGAGCTGATGGATCCCAAATGTAAACAGATGATCACCAAGAGACAGATCACCCAGAACACAGGTACACACACACACACACACACACACACACACACACACACTCACACTCACACACTCACTCTCTCACACACACACACACACTCTCTCACACACACACACACACACACACACTCACTCTCTCTCACACACACACACACACACACTCTCTCACTCTCACTCTCACTCTCACTCTCACTCTCACTCTCACTCTCTCTCACACTCACACTCACACTCACACACACACACTCTCTCTCACACACACACACACTCACACACTCACACACACACACACACACAATAATTCTAATAAAAAAATATAGGGGTTAATAAATTAAGCATTATTGGAAGTTAATGGTGTTTTATGTATTATAATTTATTTCCTTTTTTATATTTGTTTTTTCTTTATTTTAGTTTTATTAAAATGTACTAAATTAATTATTTTAAATTATTTGTTTTTTATATTTTATTTTATTTTATAAAAATGTTTGTATTTAATTCAATTTTTTAAATATGGTTTTTAATGAAATGAATCTTGCGTTTCCCATATATTAAACCTGTTGTGTTTTAGATGTATTTATATTAAAGAATGCCATGTTGTGTACACTGCTGTCTCTCTGCCTGCAGACTACAGGCTGAACCCAGTTCTGAGGAAAGCGTGTAAAGCCGACATCCCAAAGTTCTGCCAGCCGATCCTGAACAAGGCGACGGCCGACAGCGAGCTGGAGGGGCAGGTCATCGGCTGCCTCAAGCTCAAGTACGCCGACCAGGTGAGACCAAGCCCTCTTACCTGTATGCAGAGGGGGGGGGGGGAGTAGTGGAGTACAAATACTTTGTTACTGTACTTAAGTACATGTTTCTGGTATCAGTACTTTACCCCACTACTTTATCATTCTTGATCAGATCACAGCAGGATAACCGAGCTAGCTCAGCTTGTTGCTCTGATAACTTAACATCCAGAAGTCCGTGACTAAAATCCTTCATCCGGTTAAATATAGTTAAAAAAATACCAATTGTATTAAAGTTCAAGAAAGGATGGTTTGCGGACAAAACAAACGGTCTTATCACATGTTACTTGTTAGACGCTTTTATCCAAAGCGACTTACATACTCAAATCTGTGGACAATCCCCACAGGAGCACTTTGGGGTGAAGTGTCTCAGGGACACAACGACATGCTGACTGCAGTGGGGTTTGAACCTGTGCTCCCCTGATCCGAACACCAACGCTCTATCCACTGCGCCACACGCCTCTATTTTTTCATATCGCAATATATATCGCAGGGGAAGAAAATATCGCAATGTCAGTTTTTTCCAATATGGTGCAGCCCTACTATTTAACTATATTTGATTACAGTGTGCTTAAAGATTTTTAGTTTTATATTTGATGTATGCACCATGACATCAAGTCAATTTCCTCGTGTGTGTGAACCTACCTGGCAATAAACCCGTTTCTGATTCTGATTGTTTTTATTATATATAACATTTTAATGTGTCTCTGTGTGTTCGCAGCGTTTGTCTCCAGACTGCGAGGCTCAGATCCAGGTCATCCTGCAGGAGTCAGCGCTCGATTACAGGCTGGACCCTCAGCTGCAGATACACTGCACTGCAGAGGTACACACACACGCACACGCACACACACACACAGAGACACACACACAGACATACACACACACTCACACTCTCACACTCCCTCACACTCTCACACTCTCACACTCTCACACTCTCACACTCTCACACTCACACACACACACTCACACTCACACTCACACACTCACACACACACACTCACCTCTCACACACTACCTCCCACAAGCCACAGTTTTTACTGTTTTAATGGTTTATCAAGAGCACAACTGAAACATAACATCTGAAACGATGTAACAACATAATACACTTTTTGGGGATGCAGCTTGGGATGTGAGGAGTGAGGGACACGGCTTAGAACGAGCGTGTCGCCTTCTGTCCTGCCAGTGTTGGCAGGACATGAATTAAAATGTCGAACTCGGACTTCATTTTAAGGACATTTCGGCCAGGGGTGTTGAGCTATATTTGTTTAAGCACCGGATTGGCAAAACAGGAGAGTGTGTGCACTGTGCACCACTCTGCCTTGATCTATGAATTCATGTCCGTGACACTCACAGTATCTGCTGCCCACAGCTGTTTTATAGAAGTAACTGTAATCAGATTACTCGTTTTTCAAATGTAACGCGAGCTGAATACAGTTACTTGATTTTTGTATTCTGATTACGTAACGCCGTTACATGTATTCCGTTACAACCCAACCCTGCACACACTCACAGCACTGCAGAGGCACACACACTTCATTCATCACTAACACACATTCCGTTTTTAATTGTTTCTTTATTTCATTTCCTTTGTACTAAACATTGAGCATTCACAGCCAGGTTTATGAATGTTCCTGTTAATACACTAATTAATGAATACATTATGAATCCTTATGACAGATATCATTTAGTAGTATGTTGTGTTTATATATTTATACTATACTGGGCTCTCCTTGAGGTTTCTCCCCGTGTTGCGATGAGGCTGAGTGGCCAGCAGAGGGCGGTATTGTCTTGTGAATTCTGAGGGAAATACAAAACTTCTGCTATTGTCTTCATTTTTCTCAGTGGGTTTTACAATCTCTACACAACCCCACCCCCTCTGTCCTCTGACATGTGCAGCGCTCACTGGAAAAACTACAAACACAAACATTTAACAGAAGAAAATTAGAGGAAATCTCAAAATAGAAACACAACAGATCAGAGTACTGTGAGCATGTAGAGGCTTCCCCCCCCCCCCGTGTGTGTGTTTTTATTAGTCTTCTTCAACATAGTTTTCCGAATTTTTTCACATACACATTTAGGATTTGTTGACATACTCATCTTAATTGTTTGTGTGTGTGTTCAGATCTCACGGCTGTGTCCAGAGGAGGCAGCCGCTCAGGAGCAGACGGGGCAGGTGGAGGAGTGTCTGAAGGTCAACCTGCTGAAGATCAAACAGGATGGATGCAAGAAGGTAAACAACAACAACCACCAGGAGCCGCTAAGCCAACACACATCTTATCCAAAGCACAGTAAACGCAAGAAGAAGTCTCAGCTTATCACACCATGATCCTTTTAATAAACTTAATTAATGATGACGGGAATAATGTTCGACAATTATCATTACCTCTAGTATTGCAAATGAGGACAAAATGGCCTGACATTCTCGAGAGCAAAACGTCACAGATTACCCATCATGCCTTGCTGTCAGAGCATAGAGCATGCGCAGTTGAGTTTCCCATTAAGCCCCGCCCCCGATCTCCCGCTCTCGGCTCAGAAGAATGAGGCCCCGTCCACACGGAGATGATACCGATTTCGAACCGAAGTCGATTTAAAAAAAGTCTTCCGTCCACACGGAATCGGCTCAAGAAATGTGTCCGTCCACACGAGACCGCTGGAGACGCTGTAGTACATATGCCGGGCCTGTAAGTGGCGCTGTACTTCCGCCACAAAATACACCAAAAGCAGCGAAGAAGACCCCCCGAGCATGGGCATAAAGAAACAAACAAACAAGGTAGAAGATCTCCATGTCCACTTGTTGCTGATGGTTGTGGTAGAGGAGCACTAACATCTGAAGCATGGTCAGTAGCGTCTGGAGCACGAACGCAACCCTGTGATCCGCCGTTGTTGTTGTTGGGCTCCGTGTGTACGCCCTATACCAGGGGTGCGATCGACTGGTTGGGCACCCCTGGTACACACAGAGCGCCCAGGAAGTGCGCCGGACTCTGTGCCCAATATTCGTTGTGTCCAAACGGCGGTACTACAATTTCCGTGTCAGTCCATGATGTCCCCCGGCCCAGAAAGACTTTTCCCCATTGACTAACATTGGGAAAGAGACGTCTGTAAATCAGTGGATACTTTTTTTTAACTAAATAAAGTGCCCAGTATGAACTATCTGATAGCCCTTATTAGAATCATTCGGTCCTTAAAGTTGTAAAATGCACTAAAAGCCGAATCTAGATTTATTTTCTCTCTCCATTAATTCTAGTGAGCCGAGAGTGGGAGCCCGGGGGCGGGGCTTAAGGGGCAACTCGACTGCGCATGCTCTGAGCGCACATACGGGTACTTCTGTGTAACGGGTAATCTGTGACGCTTCGCTCTCTCAAAGGTTGGGCCATTTTGCCTTCATGCGCCAATGAGCAGCTCTCATAGGAAAGAACGAGTACACACGGAGCCGCAAGCGTTTCATCTCCAGACCTACCGGGGCCGTGACCACAGGGTGTCGGATTCGGGCTCCGTGTCGGCCTCGTGTGGACAAACCGTCTATACGATAAAGAACTTTAGCGGATACAACTGAAATCGTCTCCGTGTGGACGGGGCCTGAATTAAGAGAGAAAAATACATCTGGATTCAGCTTTTAGTGCATTTTACAACTTTAAGGACCTAATGATTCTAATAAAGTCTATTTAAGTGCTGGGTAGTTTATTTAGTTTTGATTTACAGACGTCTCTTTCCCCATGTTAGTCAATGGGAAAAAGTATTTCTGGCTCCAGTGACGTCACGGAAGTTGTAGTACCGCCGTTTGGCCACTACGAATATTTTCCTCAGAGTCCGGAGCACATAATAAACAATAATAAACAATAGCTTGAACTGCCCCCTTGTGGCATAAACATGCATGTGCAGGCAGACAATTAACCTTACGGCTGCTACAAATGCAATATTGATGCTTCCTTTAAATCCTAACCTCCCTTCACTTCTTAAATCCTCCTCCTTGTCTTCCCTCTCCGTCCTGTTTCTCCTGCAGGAGGTCTTGAACATGCTGAAGGAGAGTAAGGCGGACATCTTTGTTGACCCCGTCCTCCACACCGCCTGCGCTCTGGACATCAAACACCAATGTGCCGCCATCCCACCGGGCCGAGGGCGCCGTGAGTCAACAAAACAAACGCACCTCAGCTGAGAATCACATAAAACATATTTATTTACTACGTGAAATAGAAAGAAAAACAGGAAATCAGATATTATTAGTTTGGTTTTAGATGATTTTTAAGGCTAGTTTCTCTGAGATAGAACTGTATTTTTATGTATTTGACCAAAAAAAATAGTATAATCTTCCATGATTTGGACATTTTGCTGTGTTTTTTTTTAATTTAATATTCTTTATTGGGACGACTGTAAGATGGACTTTTATGCAGATGCATCAAGAAAAATGAAGATTGTGTGTGTGTGTGTGTATATGTATATGGAAAGGTACTTTAGTGATCCCAAATTAGCATAGGGTGTAGATCACACAGTGCAGACCCCACCTGAGATGATTTACTTTGCTTCCTCAGAGATGTCGTGCCTGATGGAGGCTCTGCAGGACAAGAGAGTGCGTCTGCAGCCCGAGTGCAAGAAGAGACTCCAGGACCGCATCGACATGTGGAGCTACGCTGCCAAGGTAACTCCACCCGTCTGAACACACTCTGAACACACTCTGAACACACTCTGAACACACCTGGAAACACTCTGAACACACTCTGAACACACCTGGAAACACCTGGAAACACTCTGAACACACTCTGAACACACCTGGAAACACTCTGAACACACTCTGAACACACTCTGAACACACCTGGAAACACTCTGAACACACTCTGAACACACCTGGAAACACTATGAACACACCTGGAAACACTATGAACACACCTGGAAACACTCTGAACACACTCTGAACACACCTGGAAACACTATGAACACACCTGGAAACACTATGAACACACCTGGAAACACTGAACACACCTGGAAACACTCTGAACACACTCTGAACACACCTGGAAACACTCTGAACACACTCTGAACACACCTGGAAACACTATGAACACACCTGGAAACACTATGAACACACCTGGAAACACTCTGAACACACCTGGAAACACTCTGAACACACCTGGAAACACTCTGAACACACCTGGAAACACTCTGAACACACTCTGAACACACCTGGAAACACTATGAACACACCTGGAAACACTATGAACACACTCTGAACACACATGGAAACACTCTGAACACACTCTGAACACACCTGGAAACACTCTGAACACACTCTGAACACACCTGGAAACACTCTGAAAACACTCTGAACACACTCTGAAAACACTCTGAACACACTCTGAACACACCTGGAAACACTCTGAACACACTCTGAACACACCTGGAAACACTCTGAACACACCTGGAAACACTCTGAACACACTCTGGAAACACACCTGGAAACACTCTGAACACACCTGGAAACACTCTGAACACACTCTGAACACACCTGGAAACACTCTGAACACACTCTGGAAACACCTGGAAACACACCTGGAAACACTCTGAACACACTCTGAACACACCTGGAAACACTCTGAACACACCTGGAAACACCTGAAAACACTCTGAACACACCTGGAAACACTCTGAACACACCTGGAAACACTCTGAACACACCTGGAAACACTCTGAACACACTCTGAACACACCTGGAAACACTCTGAACACACTCTGAACACACCTGGAAACACTCTGAACACACTCTGGAAACACTCTGAACACACCTGAAAACACTCTGAACACACCTGGAAACACTCTGAACACACCTGGAAACACCTGAAAACACTCTGAACACACCTGGAAACACTCTGAACACACCTGGAAACACTCTGAACACACCTGAAAACACTCTGAACACACATGGAAACACTCTGAACACACATGGAAACACTCTGAACACACCTGGAAACACTCTGAACACACCTGGAAACACTCTGAACACACCTGAAAACACTCTGAACACACTCTGTTTCCAGGTGTGTTCAGAGTGTTTCCAGGTGTGTTCAGAGTGAAAACACTCTGAACACACCTGGAAACACTCGAAAACACTCTGAACACACCTGAAAACACTCTGAACACACCTGAAAACACTCTGAACACACCTGGAAACACTCTGAACACACCTGGAAACACTCTGAACACACCTGGAAACACTCTGAACACACATGGAAACACTCTGAACACACTCTGAACACACCTGGAAACACTCTGAACACACCTGGAAACACTCTGAACACACTCTGAACACACTCTGAACACACCTGGAAACACTCTGAACACACTCTGAACACACCTGGAAACACTCTGAACACACTCTGAACACACCTGGAAACACTCTGAACACACCTGGAAACACTCTGAACACACCTGGAAACACTCTGAAAACAATTCCGGGGCCTTTTGACGTCACTTAGTCCAAATGGACCAATTGGCACACAGCTATAGAACAATAGGCACACCCTCTGCCAGGGTGGACTCCCGAGCAGCTCAGGAGTCCACCCCGCGGACAGTGAGGTGGATTTCCCGCTGGAGTTCCACACACACACACACACACACACACACACACACACACACACACACACACACACACACACACACACTTGTTACATGTATTGATGTACAGCACTTTGGTGAACTCTGTTGTTTTTAAATGTGCTATATAAATAAAGTTGGATTGGATCCTCCGTCCAATCCTGTCCTAACTTCCCGTCGTCCTCACTTCCTGTCCTCCTCACTTCCTGTCAGGTGGCCCCCGCTGAGGGTTTCTCAGACCTCGCCATGCAGGTGATGACGTCTCCGTCCAAAAACTACATCCTGACGGTGATCGGTGCCGGCGTGGCGCTGCTCTTCGTGATGGGTTTGCTCTGCGGACGCTTCACTAAACGCGTCACTCAGGAGCTGAAGGACAGGTAGACTCCGCCCCCTTTGGGGTCAGGACACGCCCACAGGAGAAACAAACAACCAACCAACAACACCGCTGAAAAATAAGCCCCACCCCCCTCATTTACATACCTCCTCCTCTACATTTCATTTTCTACCATCGCTGGAATGACATTACCCACAATCCTGCAGAACAAAAGTGGGCTTGATCAGCTTTGTAAGCCCCGCCCACTCCTCGAGAGGCCACGCCCACTCCTCGAGAGGCCACGCCCACCTTCTGCAGTTTCACCTGATGCAGTATTACTACGCCCCCTCCTCTCTTTGCAGTGAAATGGGAGGATTGGGAGTAGGGGGCATTCAGATCGTAAGGATTTTAGGGTTCATAGGTCAAAATATGGGGCGCGAAGAAATCATATTAATAAGTGTAAATGTGTAGAAAGTGGGATGGGAAATGCTCATGTATAGAGCGGTTAAATGACTCCAGTATTTTAATGATTAAAGTGTGTGAGTGAGAGAGAAAAGGTGTGTGAGAGAGAGAGAAAGAGTGTGTGTGTGTGTGTGTGAGAGAAAAAGTGTGTGTGTGTGAAACTGTCTTTCCACCATATTGTTCTCGTCTGTCCTGCTTAAGGGTTTTTGGGGGGTTTGTTTTTTGCTCTGGATATATCTTCTTTTTTTTTGGATGTGTGTTAGTTAGATTTGATCGCCATGGGACTGCCAGGCGGGCGGTGCTAACCAACCAGCCCTCCACCGAGCAACAGATACGATAACAAAAAAAATAAGAGGGCGTAGGAGGAAACTAAACACTCCCAGCCGACATCGCCCACAAAAAATGTCTCGTGGATAATTTTTTTTCTGAAACCTGGCAATGCAGTTTTTTCCCAGCCAAATGAACGCACCACGAAATTGAGGACGCTTGTTTCGCTCGCCTTGACTGATTTTTACGTCCGAAGTCATTTCAGTTTCACCCTGAAGAGACAGTGGAGCCGACGCTGGGATTTATTACTTTTACCCTCTGATGGTTTCGTACTGGGAGGGTAAGAAACCTGCAGGATAATAAATAAATAAAGAAATGAAAATATTCTAGATTATTATAGAGATGTGAACATTTGTGTAAAGATGATACTGGAATCATTGCACATTTCTTTTTTTTTTTTATATATCTATAAATATATATATATTGTTTTGTCATAGCCTTATTTATTTGTTTACTAATGTTTTGTTTTTTTATATGATTTGAATGTTCTCTGGTTGCCTTTTCTCCAGTGAGCGAGAGGACGAGGGGGAAAGATCAAAGGTTAGGGCATCAACCTGCCTCTGGGAGATGACTGATTTTTACCGTAGGGCAGTGAACGCCTCTCTGGTGGTTTAGATTTCTGAAAGACGGCAGCTGTTAAACTCTGCACGCTTTGTTCCAGATCAGAGAAGAGAGGCGATGTCCCTTACCTTAAAGGACCTTATTTCGGAAAAAATATGTACATTTTTGTTAAAAGTGGTGCAGGAATGAGTCCTAAACCCTGAAATGAGTCTGCATTTGACCACTTCCTGTCACCTGGTGTGGAAGTCAATGGTTTTTAGAATGTGTTTTTGGTCTAAAATAAGGCAGTGATTATGTTTTTTTTGCGGTACAACAAAAATGAAGCTATCCTGAGTCTTTAACCCTGAATGAGTCGGCATTTTTAGCTCTTCCTGGTTTTGGTCGTTAGCTTAAATCAAGGTCTGTGGTTAACACGAGCTGAAGAGATTTTGTTCTACGACATAAAATACATCAGAAAATACCCCACTGGTGGATTTAAAAACGTTGGTTGCTAACAAGTGTTTAAATGAGACGACTAAACGTCATCACGGCCAACATTAGCAACCTTTAGCTTAGCCACAGTTCCGTTATAGCCCAACATTAGCCGCCTTTAGCTTAGCGGTGGTGACGTGAAGTCATGTGACCGTGCTGTAGTTCCTTTATAGCCCAACATTAGCCACCTTTAGCTTAGCAGTGGTGACGTGAAGTCATGAAGTACCTGTGTGACTTAATCTCGGTACCGAATACAAGACTTTTTGGGTGTAAAGTCTTTCCTATCAGGTCTTTTCTCACTGTGTTATACTTTACGTTTTTTCCGAAAATAAGGCCCCGCGGGAAAAGGGGGTTTTTGCTTCTCTTTAGTGACAGAACTGAGTTGTAGTTTTTGAATCGGTGCATCGATATCTGTAATGTGATGATACTTTGGGGATGACCACTGGTGCGTTCATGCACCGTAAACGCTGATCAGTGATGAGGATATGAACAGAAAAAGGGTTCAGAAAACAGTTCATGCAGCCTTCTGAATATGTGACTATCACAATCGTACTTTTCACCACTTAGCCTGAACATGAGACGTGTTAGAAGTCAATGTTTTCCCCCCAAAATGAACCAAACTGCAGGTGTGAAAGCGACCTGAGAGAAACCAAAACTCAACATGTCTGTCTCATGTCTCAGAAAGTCATTGTTGTTTCTGTCTGCTTCAAGTCAAATGATCTTGGATGTGAGCCGAGGAAAGAGAAGCACGCACAAAACAAAGACCGGGAAACACAAACTGGATAACGTTACTGAATCATTTACTCTCTAGGTCTTTGAGGTCTCTGACTGCTTCTTCTCCGTTTGACGTCTGTATGAACAGAAGGGTTTATTGGCCTGCAGGTTGATGCCGGAGAGAAAAGCGTTTGAGTTTTTCGGGTGGAATCTTCCGTTGGGGTACGGAAGCCCTGAGAGGCAAGTTTGTGATTAAAAAAATATATATATGAGGATAATCTTTCTAAGTTGCTTAAAGAATGAAAAACAATGTGTGAAACTTTTGGGGAAATTATGTTTTGTAGATTTCCTTTTTTCCATTTGCGAAAAACAGATTTTTGTTTAAAATGTAGGTTTTAATATTTGGGTTTCAGTCGTCTAAGTTTGTCTTTAGATGGAATATTTTCCCACAATTTTTCGCCAATTAATTTCTAAACTGATCGAGTGATTTGTCTAGAAATTGCAGATCAAATTCCTCAATTCTGTCTTATTGACATTATGGTAAACAACTGTCTATGTACCTTATCTGTAAAGGAAAACAGGTCGACTAAAACGTCTCTAAGAGAAATGCTGTTTGCAGGTGAAAAAAATGTTCTTTAAAGAATTGTTTTGCCCATTGTCTTGGATCCTAAACGGGTGTAAACGATCCTGGTCCTTACGGTACACAACTCTCTATGTACCTTATCTGTAAAGGAAAATACACAAAGAATTTTTGCTAAATTGTCATTAAGAAAAATGCTGTTTGTAGGTGGAAAAACGTAAAACGATCTCGACAATTCACCTGTTTTCACGAAAGACCCCCAAAAAAAGTAGAAAAATAAAACATATTTTCCCCGTTTCACACATTTAGTTTCCCTCCTGTTCTCCACTCTTAAACACAGGCACATCAAACATATCCAGACTTTATGAAACTGGCCTCTCAGGGCTTCCGTATCGAGGGGTGATGTCGAGCTTTTTGGTCTCGTCGGAAACAGAAATTTGTTTTATAAAAAGCTACTTCACGGTGTCTCTCCTCTCTCTTCTCCAGCACGTGTTCTTTACTGAGTGACGACATACTGTAAACAGTTTCATTTCTTATCTATCTGTTGAAGCTTGCTGTGGTGAGTGCTAACCCCCCCCCCATGCTTGTAAATGACACGTCCTGATTCGTTGATATGCCTTCGCTTGTTTCATTGTTATTTTCGCAATCTTAGGTTATTTCTTTTTTATAAAAGCGTGCCTATTCGCCGTCCCATCGAGGGATTCCTGCTGTAAAGGTGTGTGTGTGTGTGTGTGTGTGTGTGTGTGTGTGTGTGTGTGTGTGTGTGTGTGTGTGTGTGTGTGTGTGTGTGTGTGTGTGTGTGTGTGTGTGTGTGTGTGTGTGTGTGTGTGTGTGTGTGTGTGTGTGTGTGTGTGTGTGTGTGTGTGTGTGTGTGTGTGTGTGTGTGTGTGTGTGTGTGTGTGTGTGTGTGTGTGTGTGTGTGTGTGTGTGTGTGTGTCACACACCCACAGATTCTGGACGGCGAGTGCAAACTTCCTCGTTGTTCTTCTTAGTTTTGTGATGAAGATCTTTTTGTAAAATGTTCCACGGAGCTCCTGATCATCTGATTTATTTTTCTCCCCACTTTGTTGCTTTTATTATTGACTTTGTCTTTTTGTTTTGTTGTTGTGTACAGATGAAAATTGGACAGTTTGTTAATAATAATAATAATAATAAAGTCTGCAAGGTTTCTATCCTGTCGTCCGCTCTGTTGATTTCTCCATCGAGCTTCACTTCACAGAGACCAGTCTGCTCTGATGTTAGCCTCTGCAGGAGGCCCAACAGCGCCTCTTTAAAGAAACTAGTCTAACTATAGTTGGCAGTAGTTTGCTCGTTTATCAAGAACATTCATATTTGTATCGACATTAGTAATTTTATTGCCAATTTTGTGAAGTTAACTACAGAAACTGACAAATATTTAGTGCCTTAAAGGTGGGGTAGGTAAGTTTGAAAAACCGTCTCGAGTGCGCTAGAATTTGAAAATACACAACCGGAGAAAATCTGCCACTTCCTTACCGAGCCCCTCCTCCAACACACACGAACGCGCACATGACCAATGAGGGCACGAGATAAGTTTGTGCCCCGATGGAAGGCTGACAGGCAGGTAGGCCATCCAATCATCTGAGCCGGGCCGGCTCAGATGATTGGTCGTGCTTTTTACAGTACTACGGCTTCCACAGATGACTTTTCTTTATGGATTTTTTGTCAAAGCACTTAAAGTGGACCTATCATGCTATATTTGAATAATATAGTGTAGGACCATACCTATATAAGGCATATTTATACTTTTTTTTTTTTCAAAATACCAAACAGATCATGCATTTTAGCCATGCCTCATTTCGCTCAATTTGACAATTTCTAGCTCTGTTTTTGCAAGGGCAGATTCAGTGAGAACAGCACCATCTACAGGCCTGGCATATGTACTACAGCGTCTCCAGCGCTTTCGAACGGCAATGGCCGTGGCTGTCTCCTCCTGATTGGTGGAGTTGGCCCAATAGCCGTAGCGCCACCGTCCTGACGTCAGGACAGTGTTCAAATCTGGATCAGTTTTTATCAGATCCGTTGCAGCCCCTTTTTTAGAGATTTGGGTATGGAGGAAAATAGAGAGGGTTGTGTTTTCTGACACTTGGTGAGTTCCCTGGAACACCGGGGACACATATTCATGTAGAAAAGACGTACAAAAGTGCATTTTGCATGATAGGTCCCCTTTAAGATATTCATTGCTATCGGGATGTTAAGAGCATTCCATGGAATATAACAAAAAGTGTATCTCGAGCCGGTTTCTCAAACTTACCTACCCCACCTTTAAGAGTAAAATAGTTATTTGATATCATTATTAGTCTTTGACCAGCCATGCTATCAACTATATATTTAAGAGATGGAGCAACATTGTTTTTGGGGATTTTATGGCCTTGTCGACTAAATATCGCATCTTTTAGTGATTGCTTTTTATTAAAGGTATTCTATATCTTCATATCCATCTGTTATGGACTCCTGCCTCGGTGAGTGCAATGGTTTTGTTCCTATTTATTCAACTGTGCAATCATCTTTTTAATAACTCAACACATTCTCCTTCCCTCTCAGATGGGTTTCATCCTCGCCTCCGATATGTCTAACTTCAGAAAACGAGCAACACACACAAATAAATCCAGACGCTGTTATCCTGACTCAGTGCAAAGCTTCCTGAAGGAATTAAAGGACACGTCTGTTAACTACAAATCACATGACACACACACACACACACACACACACACACACACTGTGGTCGTCCTTCCTCCCTGCTGCCAGTGGTTCAGTATATTTAGGAGTGCTATGATAATCATCTTGCATTTCAAATTTGACAATAACAACAATAAGAAGACAATATTTAATTTATATATAATATTTTGTCAGAACAACTCAACACTAGTTTGCTTAACGTTCCCCAAAATTGCACACAAGTTAGCATCTAAGATAACATGTTTGCATTCAACGTCAGGGCCAAAAGTCTCAAACAGAAAAAATAGTTTTGCTCTAAAATCATAAACTCTAATAATGCACAACCTTTCTGAACATATCAAGTTTAAATATAGGATTTGATTTTTTTCCACGTACATTTGGACACGTTTAGCTTGAAAATATTACATTTTCCACATATTGTCTGAGCATTTTCTGATATACAGTGTTTCCTGTATTTTTCACATATTGTGTGAGATTTTTATTAAACTATACAAATAATTGTACATGTTCCGAAATGTTTCCCCAACAATTCTGAAACAGTTTTTCACAATTTTTCTAATATTTTACCTATATTTTCTGTTGTTTTTAGTGTGTGTGTGTGTGTGTGTGCTTGTCTGTGTGCTTGTCTCTCTCTCTCTGTGTGTGTGTGTGTGTGTGTTCCATAACTCCTCACACACACAGGTGAATGTTTTAAGTGAAGCGATCTTACGTCACGGTGTGTGTGTGTGTGCTTGTCTGTGTGTTTGTCTCTCTCTCTCTGTGTGTCTGTGTGTGTGTGTGTGTGTGTGTGTGTGTGTGTGTGTGTGTGTGTGTGTGTGTGTGTGTTGTGTGTGTGTGTGTGTGTGCGCGCGCGTGTGTGTTCCATAACTCCTCACACACAGGTGAATGTTTTAAGTGAAGCGATCTTACGTCACGGTGTGTGTGTGTGTGTGTGTGTGTGTGTGTGTGTGTGTGTGTGTGTGTGTGTGTGTGTGTGTGTGTGTGTGTGTGTGTGTGTGTGTGTGTGTGTGTGTGTGTGTGTGTGTGTGTGTGTGTGTGTGTGTGTGTGTGTGCTTGTCTGTGTGTTTGTCTCTCTCTCTCTCTGTGTGTGTGTGTGTGTGTGTGTGTGTGTGTGTGTGTGTGTGTGTGTGTGTGTGTGTGTGTGTGTGTGTGTGTGTGTGTGTGTGTGTGTGTGTGTGTGCGCGCATGTGTGTTCCATAACTCCTCACACACAGGTGAATGTTTTAAGTGAAGCGATCTTACGTCACGGTGTGTGTGTGTGTGCTTGTCTGTGTGTTTGTCTCTCTCTCTCTGTGTGTCTGTGTGTGTGTGTGTGTGTGTGTGTGTGTGTGTGTGTGTGTGTGTGTGTGTGTGTGTGTGTGTGTGTGTGTGTGTGTGTGTGTGTGTGTGTGTGCGTGTGCGCGCGCGTGTGTGTTCCATAACTCCTCACACACAGGTGAATGTTTTAAGTGAAGCGATCTTACGTCACGGTGTGTGTGTGTGTGTGTGTGTGTGTGTGTGGTGTGTGTGTGTGGTGTGTGTGGTGTGTGTGTGTGTGTGTGTGTGTGTGTGGTGTGTGTGTGTGTGTGTGTGTGTGTGTGTGTGTGTGTGTGTGTGTGTGTGTGTGTGTGTGCTTGTACTGTGTGTTTGTCTCTCTCTCTCTCTCGTGTGTGTGTGTGTGTGTGTGTGTGTGTGTGTGTGTGTGTGTGTGTGTGTGTGTGTGTGTGTGTGTGTGTGTGTGTGTGTGTGTGTGTGTGTGTGTGTGTGTGTGTGTGTGTGTGTGTGTGTGTGTGTGTGTGTGTGTGTGTGCGCGCATGTGTGTTCCATAACTCCTCACACACAGGTGAATGTTTTAAGTGAAGCGATCTTACGTCACGGTGTGTGTTTGTCTCCACATGGACAAACTTTCTGTGTGTTTTCTGTCTTGTACGTGTGTGTGAGAATGTGTGTGTGTGTGTGTGTGTGTGTGGACATACAGCTCAATCACATGTCTGCGTGTGTGTGTAGTGTGTTTTTGAAGCGTGTGTTCTGTCTGGTGTGTGGAGGCTGGCGGATACGTGTTAAATTCTTCAGTCCGACGCACCACAACATGTCTCAAAGTGTCTCAAAACATCCAGAGACGTCCGATTGACAGCTTCAAACATCACACAGTCGGGTCAACATGTTTATTATGTGTTAAACAGAGTCATGTCTGCAACGAGATAAAACGCAAAGCACAGGCACAGAAAATACAAATGGAAATACACTCATATATGAGGGAGACTCTTTTACCAAGAACACATACTACTACTGTTTGAAAATACCCTTATTATGGATTAATGACTCCTAAACATACCTAAAGTACTCAAACTAAAAGTATGGATGTGCAGTAAAGAAATGTGTATATTATATATATGGTGTTTCTTGATTTATAGTCTACTGCTGCAGCAATGTGTATTTTGCATTTAACTGTATCTTACAGGCTGTTGCTGGCTAGTTTATTCTACAGCAATGCATCATATTCTATACGTTTGTGATTTCATACATTTCTCACTTAAAGTCTGGAAGTTCCTTCAATAACATTTTTTAATAAATGCAATAATTTTCACATACTTATCTCAAAATGTCCACACGATACAGATTTTGGTAACACTTTATATTAAGGTACACAAATCAACCATCAACTAGTTGTTAATTAACATGCATATTAGCAGTATATTGGCTCTTTATTAGTCATTATAAAACACTTATTAATGCCTTATTCTACATGACCATATTCTACAAGTAATAAGCCATTAGTTGAGAGTTTTTTCCCAATAACCGTCTAATTAGTGCTTATTTATTGCAAGTAAGGAAGTTGTTGTTCATGAGTTTTGGTCTTAATATGCTCTGCTCAATATGGGCCTAATAAGGCAGTACCACCACAAGAATAGTAATTCTCCCATAATAACACTTAACAAATATGATCTATTCTTATGTAACAAGACATGAAACGGTAAGTGTTAATTGTGTCTAAATAACCCTAATCCACTGTAAGGATTAGTAACATGTATTGTGTTTATGTGATGACATTTGGAGATGTTTAAACACAATGAGAAAATGCGTTAGCATTCGCGCTAACGTTAGCATACACGGTATTGTTAGCATACATGCTAGCGTTAGCCATACTAGCCTGTATACATGCTTATTGCACAGCTAGCATTAGCTATATTTACCTTGTTTACACTTAGTGGTCTTATGTGTTAATCTGTGTATGTTACACTTGCATGAATGAGATCATTAAGTGCCTTGTAACTTCTTGTTTTATAGTTTCACTCAGTTTGAATGTCAGTGGACTGCAAATAAGTCAATAAAGGAGCATGGCTGCTCATTCCCTGGCCCTCAAAAGAGTTTGGCTGGCTGTCTAATCTATGTTCACACTGAGACAGTACAACACATAGAGAGAACAGTACACCTAGTGTGTAAGTACATACAAGCAGGTCGCACAGTATGCTCACAAATACATACAATCTGTTTTTATTAAAAAGTACAGGCTGCATGTGTTCTCAGCCTTGGAGAAACTTGACATGTTTTGGTATGTGTCTGAACTTCTCTTTAGTGATTCATTAATAAAACAGATATTTCAACGTGTGCCTACTTTGTTCTTGTACTGTTGAGGTTCATTTCAGTAGTTGTGTGCTATAATGTATTTACAAAGTGTGAAGAGGAGGCAACTTTAGAATAGGGAACCTGTTCAGGTCAATTAGAGTCAAACTACTAGCTTATTGGTTATGAACAAGACTTCACTTTAAAATAGGGAACATGTTCTGAGATAGAAATACCTAATTTTGAGTTATTTAGACACAATTAACACTTATCGTTTCATGTCTTGTTACATAAGAGATCATATTTGTTAAGTGTTATTATGGGAGAATTACTTTTCTTGTGGTACTGCCTTATTAGGCCCATATTGAGCAGAGCATAGACCAAAACTCATGAACAACAACTTCCTTACTTGCAATAAATAAGCACTAATTAGAGGGTTATTGAGGAAAAAACTCTCAACTAATGGCTTATTACTTGTAGAATATGGTCATGTAGAATAAGGCATTAATAAGTGTTTTATAATGACTAATAAAGAGCCAATATACTGATAATATGCATGTTAATTAACAACTAGTTGATGGTTAATTTGTGTACCTTAAAATAAAGTGTTACCCAGATATTTTTTGGAATATTTAAAAAGTGAAACCCAACAGAACAGATTTTTTATTTTTTTATTTAGCAATATTATATACAGAATCATAATTTTACAGAAACAGTAAATTACCAGAAACACTCAGTGGTTCGACACCCCCTCCCTCGTCAGCTTTATAAATGAAGGTCTGGCTCCTGCTCTCACATTCATTACAAAACCTTCTTTTCGCACCAACCCTGATGAACCTTACCCACCCACCCCCCCCCCCCCCCCCCCCCCCCCCCCCCCCCCCCCCCCCCCCCCCCCCCCCCCCCCCCCCCCCTACATACAAAATTAATGGTGTCTCCCGCTACGAATTACTATTCGTAGTATAAGATCAATGTTTTTGATCTTTTTAAATAAATATTTTGTTTATTAAAAACTCCAAACTCTGGTAAATACTGACAAACATTGAACGCCCCCAAAATGAATGTTTCCTCCCTCTAAAATGTGTACGGAGAGACGAACAGCGTGACCTTGGTGAGGTATCGCCCCAGCAGCTGGTTCCTCTCCAGTTCGCTCATCTCCACTTCGGCCTCCAGAGTGGATGGACCCTCGATGGGTGTCACCAACAAAAGGGTCCCCGTCTGTCTTCCTGAGCGCTGGACGCTGAAATGACCTCGCCCTCGACCGCCAGCCAACCCGAAACGAAGCGTGTCGCCAAGGACTCGAGCCGCCGACACACGGAAGAGGACACGGGGGGCGGCCATGTTGGAAACCACAGACAGGAAGTGGAAGGAGATGGAGTTCGGAGCCTGAGAGCACGACTTGTCTCCGGACATGCAGGGGTTCCTCTCACAGCGCCTGAGGAAACAAGATGAGATAAGATAAGAACATCAGCAGGAGAGGACTCTTTAAAGTAGAGACACTATATACTGATATACACCTGAACATCAGCAGGAGAGGACTCTTTAAAGTAGAGACACTATATACTGATATACACCTGAACATCAGCAGGAGAGAACTCTTTAAAGTAGAGACACTATATACTGATATACACCTGAACATCAGCAGGAGAGGACTCTTTAAAGTAGAGACACTACATACTGATATACACCTGAACATCAGCAGGAGAGGACACTACATACTGATATACACCTGAACATCAGCAGGAGAGGACTCTTTAAAGTAGAGACACTATATACTGATATACACCTGAACATCAGCAGGAGAGGACTCTTTAAAGTAGAGACACTACATACTGATATACACCTGAACATCAGCAGGAGAGGACTCTTTAAAGTAGAGACACTACATACTGATATACACCTGAACATCATCAGGAGAGGACTCCTTAAAGTAGAGACACTACATACTGATATACCCCTGAACATCAGCAGGAGAGGACTCTTTAAAGTAGAGACACTACATACTGATATACACCTGAACATCAGCAGGAGAGGACTCTTTAAAGTAGAGACACTACATACTGATATACACCTGAACATCAGCAGGAGAGGACTCTTTAAAGTAGAGACACTACATACTGATATACACCTGAACATCAGCAGGAGAGGACTCTTTAAAGTAGAGACACTACATACTGATATACACCTGAACATCAGCAGGAGAGGACTCTTTAAAGTGGAGACACTACATACTGATATACACCTAGAAATGAACAGAATATGTCCTCTTTAACCTAATTTCTACTAATTCAGTCACAGCTTTTTACTGTTTGTTTTCAAAGATCCTGTCTGGCAGAATAAACTCTAACCGTGACTTTAAAGCTAACGCTAACCCTGCTTTCCCCCCTGGAGAGTCGGCACACATCGCTGTCTCCCTGCATCACCAAAACATGCAATTAAGTTTCAGCTGTGGGAACAAATCAGACTCCAGAAGCACTTTTGTTAGACACGTTTCTGTTTGGACCGCCATCAGCTGATCGGCTGAATGGAGCCGCTAAACCTCAGCGTCTTGAAGCCAAACCTCAGTCTGACTCTCGGCCATGTTTCTGTCAGAGGAGGGACACTAACTGTGGGGTGGAGAGAGGAAGCGGGCGACATGGAGGTAGAAACCATTGTTTTTTAAAACCTCTCTCCATCGCCCAGTCTTTGTGTTTTGTGGTGAGAAGGTTTGTGGTTTCCCCTCCTTCTTGTTTGCAGTTTCATTGTGTTGTTGAGACGTGTTTTCACACTGTATCACGAGGCGGTTCACTCGGCTAATTCAAACTCATGCTGCTGTCTAAAGTTATTTGCAATGCACACAAATTACAGAGAAGCATCATAGATCACTGGCTCTCTCCAACAATGCTCATTAAGTATTTATAATTTAAAAACCTGCATGTAAGAATAGGAATGGTAAATGTTGGTAATTAAAACAACAAAACCATCCAATCAGAGAGCTAAAAATGATGTTCTGTAAGTAGAACTAGCGTACTGATTTAATTTGGGTTTAATCAGCATTGTTCTTAGAAAGGCGCTGACTGTCACTCGACTCTTTACTATCATGTGATTTTCTTGCATTATTTTGCCTTTTTTTTGGGAATCAACTTTTTATTTGGTCAAGTTTTTTCTTGTTTAACTTTTCTTTGGTGAACTTCTTTGCAACATGCAGCTTTTAGTAAATGCTGCGCATGTTTCCTCAAGTTGCTGAATGTTTCCTAAATGCAGCATGTGTTGTCAAGTTGCTGAAGATGTTTCTTCATGTGGAACATTTGGGTTTTTATATCTGCATTGTTTTTAAAAGTGCAGCTAGTTTCTCATAATGGAAGTTTCTTTGGGCCGTTGCAGCGCGTTTGCTCCTGTCGCCAGTGGCGATTCTAGAGTCTGTGGGGGCCCTAGGCAAAAATTCACTGGGGGCCCCTCGAACCAGCTTTCATCACCATCATCTTTTTTTAAATACGACTATTGGCCAAGACCAAGTCGTTTTTATCGTTTGAGGACCTGGAAAGGGTTATTAATGCCTTTGTGAACTCAAGACTGGACTATTGCAACGCTCTGTATGTGGGTATGGACCAGGCGTCAATTAAACGCCTGCAGCTAGTCCAGAACGCAGCTGCACGTCTACTCACTGGCCACAAAAAGCGTGACCACATCACCCCAATTCTTGCCTCACTACACTGGCTTCCAGTTCGGTTCAGAATTGATTTTAAAATCCTTTTATTTGTTTTTAAAGCACTAAATGGGCTGGCTCCGGCCTATATAGCCGAACTCCTCCAGCGCTACACCCCAGCCAGAGCTTTAAGGTCTGCTGACCAGCTGCTGCTGGTAGTGCCCAAGACCAGGCTCAAAACCCGAGGGCACCGAGCCTTCGCAGCAGCTGGCCCTAGGCTCTGGAACACTCTGCCCCTCCATGTGAGGTCGGCCCAGACCCTAGGGGTTTTTAAATCTACTCTTAAGACTCACTTCTTCTCCCTGGCTTTCTAGTCAGAGCGGAGCACGACTCCTGACTTTTCCCTGTGTTTTTTTTTATTTGTATTTTTTAAATATCTGTTGTAATTTATTGTCTTTTATTGTGATTATAGAAATGTGTTTTTTATGTGATTGTAGTTATTACATGTACAGCACTTTGGCCCGACCAAAAATCGCTTTTAAATGTGCTTTATAAATAAACCTTGATTTGATTTGATTTGATCAGTGGCGCCCCAACACAGAGCGGAGCAAGGCAACGAAACTTAAAATAAGAAGCAGCATTTTACGGCGCGCTATGCATGGGGCCGCCTTGAGGGGGTTTCCCGACATGTCGTTGCAGTAAATGAAAGGGTGTTTCATGTTGTCGTAGCTGTGGACCTTCTCAATCTACCTTCTTTGGGGGCCCCCTTCTGGTCTGGGGCCCCAAGCAGTTGCCTGCCTTGCCTGTTCGCAAGCGGCGCCCCTGCCTGTCGGCTACCGTCCCTTTCAGTTATTTGCAGTCTTACATTTTTCCAATATTGCTCTTTAAACTCTGGCTGGTTTGCATTGCCTTTCTATAGAAGATACTTATCATAAATTCACAAGTGGTTGTTTTTCCTTGTTTCATGTATTTACTCCCACCTTTAAGAGTCTTAAAGAAGAGTGTGTACTATCAGGTAAGTTCATATTGAAACTCCACAATCAGCTCTACTTGATTTAAGATGTTCACGTGTGTTTTAACACCTAACCCTTGATCAAATAATGAAGCCATCCTTCAGGAGTGGTGTGTTGAATGGAAATAAAAATGTATGATTCTTACATCGATGACGTCTTGATGTACGTGGCGTTCTTCATTTGAGGACACTCCACCTTCACACACTGGAAACCTCCGAAAGTGTTCACACACACCTGGTCTGCTGAGCAGTTGTGCATCCGGTTCTCACACTCATCCACGTCTGAGGAGAGGGAAAGAGAGGCGTTTAAGAAACAAATAAACCAAAGAAAGTACTCTGAGGGAAAAGTAGTAAAACCACAGTCTTAAAAATACTCCATTACATGTTGAAGTATTAGTAATAGTAATGTTATATGCTTAAGAATTGAAGTATAATCAGCTAAATGTACAAAAAGTACTCATTATGCAGATTGAGTCTTTCAAACTGGTTGTGTTTTTATATAATATTCAGTTTTTCACAAACAAATACTTTTTATGTTGTAATTCGTCATTATGGAGCAGAGTTTAAATATGTTGTGTACTACTGAGTAGGTTAGAAGTACATTTGTCATATGAACACATCATGTTATTTATGCAAAAGGTAACCCTAACTTTTAAATTAATACATGTGTAAATAAAAAGTACAATATTTACCTCTCAGATTTAGTGGTTTCTTTTTATGTATATTCTTTTTATAATTATTATTTACATGTTTTTATTTTCTTTTGTGTTTTTACTTTGAATATTATTATTTTTTTTATTGATTTATATTTTATATTTTCTAATATTAAACTAGTGCCTCGAGAAAAGACTATTTAAGATCCAATATATTAGGATATAGTCTACAAAACGGTAGGTGTGTTCATTTGATTGAATGAATGTTTTGTAAAAACCAAGCAGCTCATAAACATCAGAGCTCGACACGACACAAACATTGGATGTATTTGTTTGTTTTCTTGTTAGTACTCAATATCTTCACTAAACACTGTTTTAATACTGTTTTATTTTGTCTCTATCAGTACTGTCTCTTGCTATAACTATGTACATTTTCCCTCTGTGGTGATAAAGGAATTCTGATGATTCTTCTAAGTGCTGCTGATACGAAACAATAGTTTTAAAGGTCCCCTCTTGTGCAAAATCCACTTGTTCATGTCTCTTCTACATCAACATGTGTCCCCTCTTCTTCATGTCTCTTCTACATCAACATGTGTCCCCTCTTCTTCATGTCTCTTCTACATCAACATGTGTCCCCTCTTCTTCATGTCTCTTCTACATCAACATGTGTCCCCTCTTCTTCATGTCTCTTCTACATCAACATGTGTCCCCTCTTCTTCATGTCTCTTCTACATCAACATGTGTCCCCTCTTCGTCATGTCTCTTCTACATCAACATGTGTCCCCTCTTCTTCATGTCTCTTCTACTTCAACATGTGTCCCCTCTTCTTCATGTCTCTTCTACATCAACATGTGTCCCCTCTTCTTCATGTCTCTTCTACATCAACATGTGTCCCCTCTTCTTCATGTCTCTTCTACATCAACATGTGTCCCCTCTTCTTCATGTCTCTTCTACATCAACATGTGTCCCCTCTTCTTCATGTCTCTTCTACATCAACATGTGTCCCCTCTTCTTCATGTCTCTTCTACATCAACATGTGTCCCCTCTTCTTCATGTCTCCTCTACATCAACATGTGTCCCCTCTTCTTCATGTCTCTTCTTCATCAACATGTGTCCCCTCTTCTTCATGTCTCTTCTTCATGTCTCTTCTACATCAACATGTGCCCCCTCTTCTTCATGTCTCTTCTACATCAACATGTGTCCCCTCTTCTTCATGTCTCTTCTTCATCAACATGTGTCCCCTCTTCTTCATGTCTCTTCTACATCAACATGTGTCCCCTCTTCTTCATGTCTCTTCTTCATCAACATGTGTCCCCTCTGTGGAAAGAGACTCTGAAAGTTTCAGGAACAAAGATTCTCTCTCTTTTTGTCCTGATCCATTTCTATAAAAACCTGTCTGAAAATGAGCTGATCAGAATTTGGCTACTTTATGATGTCATAACGATGTTTTGTCTTGTGTAACCATTAGCCAATCAGCAACCAAGGTAACCCCCCCCCCCCCCCCACCTTATCACCTGAATCTCCTCCTAGAGCACCAATAGGCGCTTTCACACCGGAGTACTTTTCCCAGGAATAGTTCCGATAGTTCCTGGGATTTTGTGTTCACACCAAAAAGATCTGGAACTAGAACCTTTTTTCGGGAACCTTTTCCCCCCTTTTCAGTCCCTGCTAGAGAGATGGTACTTTCCTAGGGAGAAAAAGGTTCCAGTTTCTGATTGGCTGGGCGAATTGCAAACCACGCCCCGTAAAACTCAGAAAAGTTTTGTGAAGCCGCCATTTTATTTGCTCGCATTAGCATTATTAGCATTAGCATTAGCACAGCGCACCAACGGAGAGAGACTAACTTATGGCAACACAAAAGAAAACATGGGAGCGGTGGAGTGATGAGGAGGTGTCGGCGCTTCTGGCGATTTACTCGGAAGGCTTCAGTAGAAGCTGCTGGGAGTCCCAGCAGCTTCTACTGAAGCCTTCCCCAACTCCGGGGGACTCCGGGACTTCGGGTGGCAGTATATGTCGTGAAGTTGTTTGCGGCCTGCGTCAGCGTCTTCATTTGCGTAATCCTCCCTCAGGGACTTATTCCGGTGTGAACGCGATCTACTAGATTGTTCCGGAACTAAAGATTTCCGGGAACTATTCTTGGGAAAAGTAATTGGTGTGAACGCGCCTATTGTGTTATTTTTAACCAAATCTCTCTCAGAGGGGCGTGGGGAGGGGCTCCTTATTTTCATCTAAAGTAACAGACAGAGAATCAGCACTTTGGAAACAGGGCTGAAACAGAGGGGATTATGGGTAATGCTGCAATGATCTGTTTGGTGTTTCAGCCAATCAGAGACAGGCTCTGTATATATCTGAGACCTATAATATATTGATGAAAAACAGTATAATAGGGGACCTTTAAAGGACATTTCGTCCGGACGCTTGCCACTGTTTCCCCCCCCCCTCCACCTTCAGCCTCATTCAGCTGAGAGACTACAGACAGACTTATCACTTCTGTGACCCCCGGGGTGACCTTTGACCTCTGACCTGTGCAGCTGCGAGTGTCTCTGGACAGGTCGTACCCGGCGGGGCAGAAGCAGTGGAAGCTGCCGGGCGTGTTCACACACTGATGCACACACAGCCGGCCGGGCTGAGCCAGGGGGAACAGGAGGCACTCGTCGATATCTGGAACACACACAGGTTCACAGAAGTTAGATTATTCCATATGGATGTGAAACAGAAGCATTGGTACAAGTACACACATCCTTTACTCAAGTGCAAGTACAGATACTCTGGTCAAAGTAGAAGAGACTAAACTTCTTTACTCAAGTAAAAGTAAAGAAGTATGGTCTCCGAAATGTACTTAAGTCAAAAGTACCCATAACTTTGTGTCCCTAATGTTCTGTACTCACTGTTACATGTCTGATATGTTTAATATGTAATGTAAAGCGCTTGGAGCATTCAGGAAAAGTGCTTGAATAAATGTAATGAAACGCAGATTAAAACTAAAGTAACGAACCTGTTTTGAAAATGTAAGAAGTAGAAAGTACTGAAACACACACAGGTACTTTAGAATATTCCATATGGATGTAAAACAGTATTGGTATTGTAACACGTGTGCACAAGGAACAGATGTAATGTGATGTAAGTGTGACAAATACAACTAATTCTTCAAATAAAATACCATGCATACATCTGTAAAGGCTACAAATATATACACAAATACTTCCACTAAATAAATGTACAAATACATTACAGAAGCACTGTGTTTGTAGAGAAATGTTAATTTATCAAACCTGTAGAAAAAAATGACATCAACAAATACAACTGATTCTTCAACTAAAATACCACAAAAACATCAGGAATTACCACAAATATATACACAAATATTTCCACTAAATAAGAAAATACATTAAATAAAATACATCCACAAATTCCTCCACTAAAATACATCCAGAACAACGACGCACAGCCACTAAAATATACCAAAGAATACCACAAATTGCAGCCAAACTGACATGCAGCACCTCTGTCTGAAACCAGAGCCCAGTCTGCTCTGATTGGTTAGCTGGCTGGCTCTGTTGTGATTGGTTAAAGATGTCCCGCCCCTTAGCCTATCACGTACAATGTGTTGGAGCGCTAGCCAATAAGAGTGTGAGTGTTACGTAGTGATGTCACTGTGTTCCGGAAGTAAACAAAGTCGTTGGATGTATTTCTCACCTGTGCAGATGTTGTTGTCTCGGCCTGAAATGGTGAATCCAACGTCACAGGTGCAGCGGGTGGAGCCCAGGAAGTGAGTGCAGTGAGAGGGACGGACAGAGGACGGGGGGGAGGACGTGGGTGAGGAGGAGGAGGAGGAGGGAGGAGGTAAAGATAGTAAGGACGAAGAGGAGGAGGAGGAGGAGGAGGAGGAGGAGGAAGAGGAGGAGGAAGAGGAGGTGGGAGAGGAAGAGGAAGAAGACAGAGCGGCAGAGACAGGGAAGGAGGAAGGAGAAGCAGGAGAGAAAGAGGCCAGAGAGTTTCCACTGACGTTTAAACCTGAAAACAAGAAAAACAAAAAACATTATTAAGACAATAACAACTTCTAATACACGTTATTTTTTACCTAACTTATGTTTATTAAAATATTTTGCTAACAAGTGTCTAAATGAGACGACTAAACGTCATGACGCCCAACATTAGCCACCTTTAGCTTAGCTGTGGTGACGTGAAGTCATGTGACCGTGCTGTAGTTCCTTTATAGCCCAACATTAGCCACCTTTAGCTTAGCGGTGGTGACGTGAAGTCATGTGACCGTGCTGTAGTTCCTTTATAGCCCAACATTAGCCACCTTTAGCTTAGCGGTGGTGACGTGAAGTCATGTGACCGTGCTGTAGTTCCTTTATAGCCCAACATTAGCCGCCTTTAGCTTAGCGGTGGTGACGTGAAGTCATGTGACCGTGCTGTAGTTCCTTTATAGCCCAACATTAGCCGTCCTTAGCTTAGCGGTGGTTACGTGAAGTCATGTGACCGTGCTGTAGTTCCTTTATAGCCCAACATTAGCCGCCTTTAGCTTAGCGGTGGTGACGTGAAGTCATGTGACCGTGCTGTAGTTCCTTTATAGCCCAACATTAGCCGCCTTTAGCTTAGCGGTGGTGACGTGAAGTCATGTGACCGTGCTGTAGTTCCTTTATAGCCCAACATTAGCCGCCTTTAGCTTAGCGGTGGTGACGTGAAGTCATGTGACCGTGCTGTAGTTCCTTTATAGCCTTTAACGTTAGCTTGTTACTTCTAAAATCATAAAGTGGTGTTAATATGTGGAGATTATCCTGCTGAACTAAACGTGTAAGAATCATAAACGTTTGTTTGACACAGAGATAATTTTCTGACATAATACAAAATCACATGCAGAAATCCCATTGGCTTTTTGTGAAGGGAACTAGGGAGATGCTGCCTTCAGGGTCTGTCACTTTATAACCACTCGTAACACTTTACAGTGTGTTATTGTCTTACGTCTGCACATGGGCTGCTGTCCGCTCCACCTCAGAGAGTCCAGACACACTCGTGTTCGCGGGCCAATCAGCTCGTAGCTTGGTTTGCACAGGAAGTGGACCTCGTGTCCGATGCCAAACACCCGACCCAGTCTCCGCCCGTTAGCGGGGAGTTCTGGTTTGGAGCAGGTTGCTGGAAACGAGAGAGAGAGAGACATTTAGCTTCAGAAACTATTTTGTGAGAATATTTAAAAATATTAAGGAAAACATTTCCTAAAAATATGAGAACAATTACTGAAAGAATATGTAAAATGTCTGGAAAACGGTCGGAAAATTCCTTAAAAATTCCAAATGTCTGTATTTTTTGGGGAAATATACAGAACAAACATGCGAACAACATCCAGAATATGTTAGGGTTATAAATGTCAAATGTACAGTGGGAGTTTAAGTCCATTTATCAAGAGAAGCAGAGAGTTCTCTTCCAGCCAGAGGAGATTTGTTGTACAGTGTTATTGCAGGTATTAAAGGTCCCCTATTATACTGTTTCTCATCAATATATTACAGGTCTCAGATATATACAGACCCTGTCTCTGATTGGCTGAAACACCAAACAGATCATTGCAGCATTACCCATAAGCCCCTCTGTTTCAGCCCTGTTTCCAAAGTGCTGATTCTCTGTCTGTTACTTTAGATGAAAATAAGGAGCCCCTCCCCACGCCCCTCTGAGAGAGATTTGGTTAAAAAGAACTCAATAGCCGCGTTCACACCGGAGTACTTTCACCGTACTTTTTGCGTTTTAGTTCCGTGAGTACCCCTTATGTCGCGTTCACACCAAAAATCGTACTTAATCTCGGGTACTTTTACCCCCATTTTTAGAGCCAGCTCAGAGAGCGTACTTTTCTGTGGGTGAAAAGTGCTCCAAAAGTTCCCCAGTGCTGATTGGCTGGGCGAATTGCAAACCACGCCCGTACAACTCTGAAAATGTTGTGTGGAGACGCCATTGTTTTTCCTCGCTACAAAAACACAACGCTCCGTGCGTTGTGTTTGTTTTTGAAAGCAGTTATGGCAAGCATCAAGAAATGATGAGGAGGTGTCGGCGCTTCTGGAGATCTACGCCGAGGACGCGACCCAAGGAATGCTACTGAAGCCAGTTCGGTAGCTTTCACTCGACCTGGGAATTGTGCACAGCCGGCTAAATATAAAGAAACTCAGGACTACAAACGGCGGATTCAGTGGCCAACGATGACTACCACGACGAAGGTAAAATCAACTACATGCACTGGGGTTTTAATCTGCACAATAATGGTCTCAGATGTACTTTTATTTGCTCAGTAGATCAAGCTAGCCATGCTAGCCATAATAGGCTAACACCGGCCCCGGCTAGCTACATCTAGCTAGCTAGATATTCTCCGCTGTATGAAAACGTTTTGACTTGTGAATAACTGTGCAGTGTTTCTGTAATTTGCTTCACTAACTCATGGCACTAATCGTGTGTTTCAGGCGAGGATGGACAACTCTCGGGATTGGAAACAAGTGAGCTTTGCATTCTAGATCACAGCGCCTCGTCCTCCTTACCAGCAACCAAACGCAAAGGTACACACACTGTAACTTTGTCTTGAAAGAACGTTACGCATCGAACTGATGTTCACAATCATGTTTATTTCATAATATTCATCATATTTTATGTTTAACTTGCCTCAACAACATTAAACAAAGTTCAAGCATACATGAAGCACTCTTCAAAAAGGAACAATCCTCCGTGTTTGAACCTCTTAAATCGCTGCATAGCCGATTTATTTGGACTGGATTATCCCAGAGGCCAAACATTCTTTATAACACAGTTTCAGATTTGTGAAACCTTAATTCTATTTGTGAAAATACAAAAAAGGGAGATTTCAGTGCTTTTTTTACATGTAGACCACATTAGACCAGGTCCTGATCTAAAACCACTATACCTAGACTCATCAAATCTGGACTGGATTATCCCAGAGAGTCAAAAGATTCTTTATAACACAGTTTCAGATTTGTGAAACCTTAATTCTATTTGTGAAAATACAAAAAACACATTCCTAGTATGTTGTAAAACTACATGGCGACTAAACAGATCTTGTATATTGCTTATTTCCCCCTCTTAGGAAAGCGGACACGGGATGCGAATTTCTTTGACACCGCCCAGGCGTTGGAGGACCGGCGTGCCGTGGTGAATGAGTCGCTGCGTGGAGATCAGATGGTGCTGTTCACCAAGGCCCAGGAAACGGAGGACAAGATGCTCACCTCGATGGAGCGCCAGGCAGAAGTGTTCAAGCAGCAGATGGAGCGCCAGCAGCACCAGGATGAAGTGTGGGCGCTGCGCCATGAGGAAGCGTCGGCGCAGCGGCAGGATGAGCGACAAACTGCATTTAATAACAGTTTATTTGGTATAGTTTTTGTAAATACTGACACACGACACACAACGTTGCACTAAGGTGTGTATGCTGCTGAGACTATCCCTACACCTGGGACAGTTTATTTTATATTGTTATTACTGTTATGACTTTATTTTATATATAATGTTTACTGACATGTACAACTGACACTTTATTTACATTTAAAATTGTTCTATTTAATGTTATGTCTTGAGAGTGCAATAAAGAAAACCGACATGGCGATTAAGCTTATTTCTCCTGACACTTTATCTTTAGTGACCTGTGTAGCATCCTATACATCACATGTAAGTGATTATTCTGATACCATCATGTTTCATCGGTTATAAACTGGCAAAGCTTTATTTGTCATTTATTTATCATCAATGTTGCAACCTTGTGGGGGAATGGCAGGGGCACATACACAAATATGATAATTTATATAATTTTAAATATTATTTGACCTAAACTTTTAATTCCCCCCCATTTCACACAACACAACATGGAGTCCACTATGGGCCAAAACTAACATGTATGTTTGCATAGTGTTTATGGCAGACGGATGCAGTGGGTCTCAGGAAGATATATAATAAAGGTGGGTTTGCTGCTGAGACTCCCTACACCTGGGAGTTTATTTTATATTGTTATTACTGTTATTATATAGTACAACTGACACTTTATTTTATATTGACAATGTTTACTGACATGTACAACTGACACTTTAGTTACATTTAAAATATTTCTATTTAATGTTATGTCTTGAGAGTGCAATAAAGAAAACCGACATGGCGATTAAACAGATCCTGTATCAGTTTTTCTTCTTCTTCTCTTGTTTTGTAGCGGGTTGCAAACAACTTTAAGGTGCTTACCGCCACCTACTGTACTTGTAATCTTCCCTCAGGGAAAAGTACTCCGGTGTGAACGCGATCTGTACTAAGTACCCTGGGGTTAAAAGCGCCAGGGCTCTTAGTGCCGGAACTAAGTACAGGAAAGTACTTGGTGTGAACGCGGCTAATGGTGCTCTAGGAGGAGATTCAGGTGATAAGGTGGGAGGGGGGGGGTTACCTTGGTTGCTGATTGGCTAATGGTTACACAAGACAAAACATCGTTATGACATCACAAAGTGGCCAAAATCTGATCAGCTCATTTTCAGACAGGTTTTTATAAAAATGGATCAGGACAAAAAGAGAGAGAATCTTTGTTCCTGAAACTTTCAGAGTCTCTTTCCACAGAGGGGACACATGTTGATGAAGAAGAGACATGAAGAAGAGGGGACACATGTTGATGAAGAAGAGACATGAAGAAGAGGGGACACATGTTGATGTAGAAGAGACATGAAGAAGAGGGGACACATGTTGATGTAGAAGAGACATGAAGAAGAGGGGACACATGATGATGAAGAAGAGACATGAAGAAGAGGGGACACATGTTGATGTAGAAGAGACATGAAGAAGAGGGGACACATGTTGATGAAGAAGAGACATGAAGAAGAGGGGACACGTGTTGATGTAGAAGAGACATGAAGAAGAGGGGACACATGTTGATGAAGAAGAGACATGAAGAAGAGGGGACACATGTTGATGTAGAAGAGACATGAAGAAGAGGGGACACATGTTGATGAAGAAGAGACATGAAGAAGAGGGGACACATGTTGATGTAGAAGAGACATGAAGAAGAGGGGACACATGTTGATGTAGAAGAGACATGAAGAAGAGGGGACACATGTTGATGTAGAAGAGACATGAAGAAGAGGGGACACATGTTGATGTAGAAGAGACATGAAGAAGAGGGGACACATGTTGATGTAGAAGAGACGTGAAGAAGAGGGGACACATGTTGATGGAGAAGAGACATGAAGAAGAGTGGACACATGTTGATGTAGAAGAGACATGAAGAAGAGGGGACACATGTTGATGTAGAAGAGACATGAAGAAGAGGGGACACATGTTGATGGAGAAGAGACATGAAGAAGAGGGGACACATGTTGATGTAGAAGAGACATGAAGAAGAGGGGACACATGTTGATGGAGAAGAGACATGAAGAAGAGGGGACACATGTTGATGTAGAAGAGACATGAAGAAGAGGGGACACATGTTGATGTAGAAGAGACGTGAAGAAGAGGGGACACATGTTGATGTAGAAGAGACATGAAGAAGAGGGGACACATGTTGATGTAGAAGAGACATGAAGAAGAGGGGACACGTGTTGATGTAGAAGAGACATGAAGAAGAGGGGACACATGTTGAAGTAGAGACATGAAAAAGTGGATTTTGCACAATACGTGACCTTTAAATATTTTAACCACATTATATATATGTTTTGTTATTCAGTGCCTCCTCTCACCTCCGGTTTTAAAGATGGCCATGGTGCTGTTGTGCAGAGCGCTCATCTTCTTCCTGAGCGAGCGGAGGCCCTGCTGGTACGAAGCCTCGTGGACCGAGAGCATCTTCTCCACCTGACGCAGGGAGGTCAGGAGGTCGTGGGTGGAGCGGCACTCCTGGTGGGGTGAGAGGAGAGGTTACACACTAATACAGGGGTGTACAAACTTTCTTCCCGAGGGCCACTTACAGAAAGATATACGAAGGGCTGGGCCGCTCACTAGAGGTTTATTGCCTCATAAGTTAAAGGTCTCCTACCATGGAACATGCACTTGTTGATGTCTTTTATACATCAATATGTGTCCCCGGTGTGTCGGGGAACTCACGCAGCGTCAGAAAATAAAACCCTCTCTTTTCCTCCGTACCCAAATCTCTAAAAACGGGGGAACAACGGAGCTGATCCAGATTTGCGTCCGATATGACGTAATATCTGAAATGTGGACCCACGGCCCTATCAGAAAGTTGCTATCAGAAACAATGCCCGACTGTTTTGGACGTAATATGGTCGGTGTTTACATTAGCATCGCTAACACTCAGAGCTAACCTGTACTGGAGAGCATGTGTGTGAAGAAGCAGGAAATAAAAAGGAACTCACCTTGTGGTATAACCGGCAAGAGAGAAAGCCTTTGAGCTCCATACTGTTTCAGAAACAATCCTTGATAATCCATGATATGGCGTTTCATCACGGCAGTATTTAGTTTAGACAGTAGCTGCCGGGTCCCGCATGAGCTCAGACCCCTCCTTTTTATTTTTTCAAATGTGGGTAAATGATGCTTGATACTTGAAAATGCTTTAAGAAAAAAAATGCTCACAGCTCTCCAGAGGGTTTACTTAATTTTGTTAGCAGCTCATTCCTTAAAACAGAAGCTTCAGATTGATTATAATAAGAGGACATATGAAGGGTACATTTTAAGCTTGTTATACAAATAAGTTACTGGGCTTTTTTCTAATCAACTTAGATTTGTTAGAAATTGTTTTAAACTTTAATTGACTGAATTAATTTGAAAAGTGAATTTATTGACACATGAATACTACTGAGTAATATATGTTTACATATATATTTAAGAAATACAATCCAAGAAAAGCACAAGTTTCATTTGTGGGCCGTATTCCATTATACTTTTACAATCTGCTGAGGGCCGATAAAAAATGGCTCGCGGGCGGCATTTGGCCCCCGGGCCGTAGTTTGGACACCCCTGCACTAAAACATTAAATAAACGGAACAGAGGTAGAACACATTATTCAACTAAAACACCACTATAGAAATGCTACAAACACAGTATATCCACAAATACTTCCACTAAATTAACTTTAACTAAAATACATCCACAAATACCACAAATTCTTCCACTAAAATATTAAATATAATATAAAGTGTAAGGGATAATGTGCAGCGAGCCGGGCATTAAAGGTCACCCATCATGCTATTTTTAGGCATATATCATAGGTCTCAGATATATACAAATATATAAAAAACATGTCTACGAAGTGTTTTGCTCAAAATACCAAACAGATCACCCATTGTAGCCTCACCCCTCTATTTCAGCTGTTACTAAAGTGCTGATTCTGGGTCAGTAGCTTTAAAAAAGGGACAGACTGTGTGCTGCGTTAAGGGACAGACTGTGTGCTGCGTTCAGGGACAGACTGTCTGCTGCGTTCAGGGACAGACTGTGTGCTGCGTTCAGGGACAGACTGTCTGCTGCGTTCAGGGACAGACTGTCTGCTGCGTTCAGGGACAGACTGTCTGCTGCATTCAGGGACAGACTGTGTGCTGCGTTCACGGACAGACTGTGTGCTGCGTTCAGGGACAGACTGTCTGCTGCGTTCAGGGACAGACTGTCTGCTGCGTTCAGGGACAGACTGTCTGCTGCGTTCAGGGACAGACTGTCTGCTGCGTTCAGGGACAGACTGTCTGCAGGAGTTTCAGGTGTGAAGTCTATAGATAGAGGTGAGGATTCACTAACACCTGTGAGAGGACCTGACCTCTGACTGACGGCTGTCGGTGTGTGTGTGTGTGTGTGTGTGTGTGTGTGCGTGTGTGCGTGTGTGTGCATGTGTGTGTGTGCGTGTGCATGTGCGCGTGTGTGTGTGCGTGCGTGCGTGAGTGCGTGCGTGTGATTGTCACACATTGGAGGGTTAACTTTAGTTCAGTGTTGGACCACTTTCTGATAACCACAGATAATAAATGTTGTCGATTTAAGTTATTTTAGCAAACAATGGAATGATAATTATTGATGTTAGATAATTATTAGTAACGCTATTATATTATTATGCATTTGAGAGATAAAATAACCATTGGAAAATGATTTTAATAATATTTGAATACAATTATTAACCCTTGACAAAGTCTTACAAACATCTGCTTCATAATGCTTAGGTTTGAAGATACAGAAGGATATATCAAAATGAAAATATGTTGATTTAAACGCTTTTCTTGCACTTCTTCCATCTTCTTTTTATCACAAATATCCGCAATCAAATTAAATGATTTGTATACTGCCGGGTAGCTTGTGAATGTACTCCAGGTGGAACTAAAGTCTGATTTAAAGTGCACCTATTATGCTATTTTTAGGGATATATTATAGGTCTCAGATATATACAAATATATAAAAACATGTCTATGATGTGTTTTGCTCAAAATACAAACAGATCATGCATTTTAGAAATCCCTCACATCCCTCTGTTCCAGCTGTTTAGAGAAACGCGGATTTTGGGTCCCTTGAAAAAAACAAAAGAGGAGGCGGAGCTAATGCCTGATCAGAATTATACCGGAGATAAAGTTAAATTCTGCTGTGATAAAACGCCATCCTGTTCTAAACCACATCAAGGATTATCTCTGAAACAGTATGGAGCTCAAATGCTTTTTCTCTTGCAGGATTATCACAAGGTGAGTTCCTTTTTATTTCCTGCTTCTTTACACATACTCTCTCCAGTACAGGTTAGCTCTGAGTGTTAGCGAGGCTTGCTAATGTAAACAAAGACGAGATTACGTCCAAAACACGTCAGGCATTGTTTCTGATAGCAACTCTCCGTGGGTCTGCCATCCGAAATTACGTCATATCGGCAGCAAATCTGGATCAGCTCCGTTGTTCCCCCGTTTTTAGAGATTTGGGTACGGAGGAAAAGAGAGAGGGTTTTATTTTCTGACGCTGCGTGAGTTCCCTGACACACCGGGGACACATGTTGATGTATACAAGACATCAAAAAGTGCATTTTGCATGATAGGTCCCCTTTAACACTTGATTATATTTCACATCATTCATCCACATCTGTAGAGTAACTAAAGGTATTAAATACATGTAGTGGAGTAAAAGTACACCATTTACCTCTGAACTGTAGAGGAGTAGAAGAACTAAGTAGCAAAACATGGAAATACTCAAGTAAAGTACAAGTACCTCCAAAGTGTACTTAGGTACAGTGCTTGAGTAAATGTACTTCTGCTAAAAGTCCTTATTTTGCATACATTTTAAACTAAATAGCTGCTATAGAAGGAACGCTGCGACCAGGATCCTTTGAATTTCACTATTATTATTATTATTATTATTATTATTAATATAAAAGATTTTAGGTAATATATCAGACATTTAATAATCATTAACCCTAACTTGAAGTTGAAATTAATAATGTAACTAAGTTGGTTATTTATTTTAGAATAATTCCCTCTTCTTGAGGGGTTAGACATACTCGCGTTTCAATACAGAAAATACTAGAATAAGTGCGTTTTTTTGCTTTTTAAACATTTTTCTTCCTGCAAAAACTTTAATTTAATCAAAATGAATTTAAAATGAATTTCTAAACACTTAATTTGACAATACATATTCATTTTTAACTTGTAATCACTGCTCTCAAATGCATTTATCTAATATTTAGACAGAAACATCTGAACTGTGACCTCTCTTAAATTGACATTTTGTGCAAAATCTTATCTTTTTCCTCTTTTGTATCGTAACGCACGGCTTAATATATAATATAACACGACTTGTTTTTGGGACTTAATATATCATTTGGCATTCTTTCTAACTCAAACACCTGATATTACACACTCATGCTTCATTCACTGTCAAAGTCAACTTTATTGTCAACCTTTCAGTGTGTGTGTACAGAGAGAGAGAGAGAGAGAGAGAGAGAGAAATGACGTTTCCCACAATCCTGAATACAAAAACTACAAATATATAAATATGTCACCTAACAGCTAATAGAGTGACATTAGAGAGCGTTGAGACACCTGTCCTCACCTGAGCGTCAGAGAAGTGGACGTGATGAAGACAGAACATCAGCAGGAGCACGGCGGCGCTCTTCATCCTGAACAAAACCTCCATTATTGATCAGACTTTGCTCCAAACTTCTCAGCTGCTGCTCTGCGTCTGAACCGCGGAGTCCTCTGCGCTGCTTCTCCTTCTCTTTTCGAGGGCACTTGCCAAATGTCTCCTCCCCCTCTTCCTCCTCTCCGATATTTAGGAGGAGGAGGAGGCGTCGCCCACATCTGGAACAAACTTTCACTTTTTTTTAGTTTTGATCAATCAGCAATCCCCAGAAATAGACTCTCAAATTAGAAGTCAGAGTCTTTCTAATCATCACAACAAAGCGTCTGCAGGAACTTCTGCTCCAATTATAGCAGCTTTTATTTTGAAATCCCAAACCTGTGAGGGTTGCTTAATGACAGGGCGGCCATCTTTACTGATAACCCCGCCTAGATTCTCCCCCCCCCCCAAGGGAGAGAGAGAGAGAGAAAGAAAGAGTCCCTGAACGCACCGTTTAAAAGAAGTATGATAAAAGCTGAGTGTGAACATGCACTGTGATCTCCTTTCTCTAAATCTTTACAAGTTTTAAAAGAAGCAAATAAAGGCCTTTACTGAACAGGATGTGTGTCTCTACTTTAAAGAGTCCTCTCCTGCTGATGTCCAGGTGTATATCAGTATGTAGTGTCTCTACTTTAAAGAGTCCTCTCCTGCTGATGTTCCAGGTGTATATCAGTATGTAGTGTCTCTACTTTAAAGAGTCCTCTCCTGCTGATGTTCAGGTGTATATCAGTATGTAGTGTCTCTACTTTAAAGAGTCCTCTCCTGCTGATGTTCAGGTGTATATCAGTATGTAGTGTCTCTACTTTAAAGAGTCCTCTCCTGCTGATGTTCAGGTGTATATCAGTATGTAGTGTCTCTACTTTAAAGAGTCCTCTCCTGCTGATGTTCAGGTGTATATCTAGTATGTAGTGTCTCTACTTTAAAGAGTCCTCTCCTGCTGATGTTCAGGTGTATATCAGTATGTAGTGTCTCTACTTTAAAGAGTCCTCTCCTGCTGATGTTGAGGTGTATATCAGTATGTAGTGTCTCTACTTTAAAGAGTCCTCCTCCTGCTGATGTTCAGGTGTATATCAGTATGTAGTGTCTCTACTTTAAAGAGTCCTCTCCTGCTGATGTTCAGGTGTATATCAGTATGTAGTGTCTCTACTTTAAAGAGTCCTCTCCTGCTGATGTTCAGGTGTATATCAGTATGTAGTGTCTCTACTTTAAAGAGTCCTCTCCTGCTGATGTTGAGGTGTATATCAGTATGTAGTGTCTCTACTTTAAAGAGTCCTCTCCTGCTGATGTTCAGGTGTATATTAGTATGTAGTGTCTCTACTTTAAAGAGTCCTCTCCTGCTGATGTTCCTCTGGAGGGAACACAGGGATTTTAGCCTTTGCAGACCATTTACATGCACTAAAACCTATAGAACACACTATAGGAGAGGGAAACACCTGAAAGCATTACTCATGGTTTATTATGTATCAGAAAAGCATTTAGATTTAATTAACAATAAAGCCGAGCAAAAATATTCTCAACACTTCAGACAAATAAGAAAGGAGGATTCTATTTCCAATATCCAACATAAAAAAAAAAAAAAAAAAGTGATCCCAGATGCAGTAGAGTAGAGTATGGGGCATGTGTGCCGTGGTTTGTGGAAATTATAATCTATGTTGGTGAAGCCACTCATTACAAAAGAAAGCTTATTATTTTTACATATTGTATTCTTATTATAACACTTTACCCGTTTTCAGCTTATTTCTTTATTTAGATTAATTTATACTGTAATTTTTATCCTCCGTACTATAGGACAGTGTTATTTATAATGTATTGACATCACTACCAATGTATTTATTTAAATCCATATGTTGAGTTGTTGAGCACATGTCTGAAATGTTTGCACGTTAAATAAAGAATAAGTACTCGCAACTATTAAGATCATCGTACGTTGTAAGTGTTTAGAACATGTTGTTAATTACAATATTTCAGTTTTTAATTTAAAATATACTAAAGGGTTCAGTTCCCAGTGTGCATTGCACATAATAATAACACAATCAAGCCCTCAAATCGAGCTTTGACTTCACTTTAAACAAGGAACATTTGACATTTTTGTTTTATAATTTGCAACATCTGCAGATAGTGCATGTGACGTTACTCAGCCTTCAAAGTATCCCCAAACTCTCTAGGGGGAACCCCATTTTTAAGGGGTGTTACGACCCCCTCCAGTCCACTAGGGGTCTCTGTGTTTGTGTTCTGCTTGCTGGCCAGAGAGGGCAAAAGTACACACATCCTTTCCTCAAGTAGAAGTACAGATACTCGTGTTTAAAAATACTCCGGTAAAAGTAGAAGTACTGACTAAACTTCTTTACTCAAGTAAAAGTAAAGAAGTATGGGCTTTGAAATGTACTTCAGTAAAAAGTACCCATAACTAGCAGCTGTTTTAAAGAGTACCTGACCTCCCTTTATATTAATAGAACAATAATGTCATTGTTAGCTAATGAATGTTTCCATGCTGAACAACGGCAACATGACAACGTTTTCATTGGTCCCTCTTCTTTAGAGAAGACCAGGAAATGATGGATACACGGATCGTGTTCAAATCAATAGGCACGCAATGACTCTAAAGAATAATGATCACGCCACCAAACACACATTCAAACTAAAGGAACCAGCCTGTTTGGGAAATGTGAGAAGTAGAAAGTACAGGTATTTGGGTTCAACATGTAAGAAGTAGAAAGTACAGGTATTTGGGTTCAACATGTGAGAAGTAGAAAGTACAGGTATTTGTGTTCAACATGTAAGAAGTAGAAAGTACAGGTATTTGGGTTCAACATGTAAGAAGTAGAAAGTACAGGTATTTGGGTTCAACATGTAAGAAGTAGAAAGTACAGGTATTTGTGTTCAACATGTAAGAAGTAGAAAGTACAGGTATTTGTGTTCAACATGTGAGAAGTAGAAAGTACAGGTATTTGGGTTCAACATGTAAGAAGTAGAAAGTACAGGTATTTGTGTTCAACATGTAAGAAGTAGAAAGTACAGGTATTTGGGTTCAACATGTAAGAAGAAGAAAGTACAGGTATTTGTGTTCAACATGTAAGAAGTAGAAAGTACAGGTATTTGGGTTCAACATGTAAGAAGTAGAAAAGTACAGGTATTGTGTTCAACATGTAAGAAGTAGAAAGTACAGGTATTTGGGTTCAACATGTAAGAAGTAGAAAGTACAGGTATTTGGGTTCAACATGTAAGAAGTAGAAAGTACAGGTATTTGGGTTCAACATGTGAGAAGTAAAAGTAAAAAGTGGTCAGAAAAATAAGTAGTGGAGTAAAGTACTGATACCAGAAACATGTACTTAAGTACAGTAATGAATACTTCACTACTTCCCACCTCTGTTGCTGGCTCTAATTTGTGTTACAGGTGTTCAAGTCGTTCACCTGATGAGCCACACCTGGGGATAAAAGGCCAACACACCTCCCATACTGCCGGCTCTCATTCTTTTGTTGGCCTCAACTTTGATGTACACACACACACACACACACACACACACACACACACACACACACACACACACACACACACACACACACACACACACACACACCACACACACACACACACACACACACACACACACACACACACACACACACACACACACACACACACACACACACACACACACACATGCACATTTGAACCAAAGACAGGACAGCTAAAGTCCCGATTAAATAATGACTTTCAGAGTTATACAGAGCTGTAATAGTGTGTTGAGGGTTAGATAAGATGGGAAGTCTAAGATAGGACTTAAGAACCATTAGGAACCAAATAGTGCGGTTGGAATGGCTTCTGCAATAGAACAACTTTATAAGTTCTTAAACGTTACAGTTTTACTCAGTCCGGGCATAAAAGGTGTGTCCTCACACACCACCTCGAGGTACCGACAAACTCCCTTCTTTCTATACTACCTCCATTCATCAATTTTACACCATTTAACTTTCCCCTGTTAGTTTCTCCCTTTAGACTTTGATCACAGACCTTAATGAACACACCTCTGAAACCTTGGGATTCAATACCCGTAAAGCACTGCTGCCGTATTTCAGATCAATCGATCACGGCGACCTCCAATATGACCCAGAATTCAGCAACAGAGTTACCTAGGTGCGACTTACCCGCTGTTCTCTCTGGGAGACTGCAGACTCCGTCAGGGATCGATCCTCAGCCAAGGAGACAGGACGCTGGAATCAGTCTGGACTCAGGACTCAAGCTATGTGGGAACAGGTTACATTTCCGTCTCATTTGTCACTTATCCAGCAATAATCAGAAGGGCTACGTGAACTTTAGTTTCCTCTCACAAGTGTGAACAGGTCGTTTTATTTAAAGTTTCACAAGTTATAACACCACACACTATAATGAACTGAGTTTAGCTCAGATATAGATGATATCTGCTCCGTCTAGGTTTGCTCAGATATATATTATATCTGGGGTCTAAGTTACACTACTAGTTAGTATCTTTCTTCCGTCTTCTGCTAGAGCTGCTGAGTTCAACAGGAACTGATTTCCAATGTTCTTCAGTCTCCTTTTATCATCTTCTTTCCCGCGGCCTGTCACGTGGTTTGACACGTGGTTTGTCACATCCTGTGCCTGCAAGCTGGTGCGTTAGAGGTGTCCTTCTTTGTTGCTGTGGTTAAATGTTCACCTCCCGCAAGGAAATACATAACAGATGTTCATCTCCTCGAAAGGGGAAGTGCGTAAGAAGTTCAATCTAAAAGCGGGAGTGCGTAAAAAGTTCATCTCCTCGAAAGAGGAAGTGCGTACTTTGCTACATAGGTCTTTACAAGTACCCATGTAAGGATTTCTGTTATACATCCTGTTTATATTGCTAAAGCGTTAAACTATACGATACATGACTATGGCATTCAGAGTTTTAACACAGTTTTTAACATATTTAAGCTTTATATAATAAAATACATTGTTCCATTTTCTTCCTTTCTTCAACAAAGTGTATCATATCATTTGGTCTCCTGAGGATATCCGTGATCAGAAACCCTGAGTACTGCAGACTGAGAGGCATGAAGGCTTTACACCTTCTCCAACTGTGTCACCCATTTCTTCAGTTTCTTCGCCAGCTCTGTGGGAGAGAGAGATAGACACCATATTAGTATTGTTATTGGTGGAGAAATTCTACGGTTAAAGGGCCCTACTGTGCTTTTTGTGTGTAAATGGTCTGCAAAGGCAACAGTACTTAATAATAATAATAATAATAATAATTATTATTATTATTATTATTATTTATTATATTTTTCAACAAAAAACAAAAACAGTAGGACAAACGGTCAGACAGAAAAAACAACAAATAAATTAGGGGCCGAAGGCCTTGGCAAACAGATGGGACTTGAGGGCCCTTTTAAAGGCGTCAAGCGTGGGGATGTTGCGGATCACCGCAGGGAGAGCAGAGGGTGGGGGCTGCCACACTGAAGGCTCTGTCCCCGAAGGGTCGCAGGTTGGTGCAGGCGGTGGTGAGCAGGCCAGTGTCTGAAGGTGAGGAGGAGGATTTTACATGATATGCGTGACTTGACCGGCAGCCAGTGGAGGTGGATGAGGGCGGGAGTGATGTGCTGCCACGGCCTTGTATGCGTGAGTACCCTAGCAGCACAGTTTTGGACGTACTGGAGCCTGTCCAGGGCTTTGTTGGGTACCCCGAACAGGACACCATTGCAGTAGTCCAAACGGGAGGTGACAAACGCATGGACTAAGGTTTCTTCTACAGGAGTCTGGCAATGTTCTTTAAACGAAAAAAGCAGATTTGGTGACGGACGTGATGTGGGAGTAGAAGGAAAGGGTGGAGTCAAAGATGACACCCAGGTTGCAGACTTCAGGAGCAGCGCCTTGGGTGCCACAACCATGAGCTCTGTTTTCTTGCTGTTAAGGTTGAGGACATTTGATGACATCCAGGTTTTTATTTCGTGCAGGCAGTTGACAAGGGACTGAGGGGGGAGCTGGGAGGATGGAGTAGTGCTGAGATAGATTTGGGTATCATCAGCATAGCAGTGGAAGTTGAGTCCATGATGGCGGATGATCTGGCCGAGGGGGAGCATGTAAATGGTGAACAGGAGGGGGCCAAGCACAGAGCCCTGGGGGACACCGTGATTGACTGGGACTGGGGGGGGATTTGAGCCATTGATGGTAACAAACTGTTCCCTGTTATGGAGGTACTTACAATAAACTTAGTAAATACAGTACTCATTCCACCACTGCAACTATCACGCTATGCACTATTATAACTATGCAATGATTCGCTCAACAGCCAATCAGAGTTAATACATTTTTTAAGGTTTATTTGCTGACAGTGCGGGACTCACCGCAAAAAACATGGCCAACAGAAGCTCAAATTTGCAAATCGATGATAATCTGCTTGGTGGGTCAGGGCCTTAAAGTCTGTCCTTTGTAAGACAGTCTAGCAGATACCTGTTTTACCTAAAGGTGCACATGGTGATGGCGGTAAGTTACCTCCAGCAGACGGTCTATGGTAGGGATCGTAGGCCCGGCAGGCGTTGATCAGAAGTTCTAGTTCTTTGGGACAGTCGTCAAGCCGCTCCTGGTATTTGTCTACGAACACTTTCTGTTTGACTTCTTCAGCTGTCTTCAAACCTGAAAGACAATCGCAAACGCAATAAGGACAAAAGAAGAAGCCTAAATTGTAGTTTTAGTCATCCTAGCAGCACCATTTTAGTCCGAACCTTTGGATGGATTGCCATTCTGTTCAGACATTCTTGTTCCCCGTTCTTCATCAACTTTTCTGACATTTACAGACCAAAACAATGTATCTCGAAAATAAGTTAATTGTACAAGAAGAGCTAGATGCAGCTGTGCTTTGATTTCATATATTTAAAGTCGTTTTTAACTTCTAGTCATTTCTGTATGTGATTTAGATTAGTGGTCCCCAACCCCTGGTCCACGGCCCAGTACCGGTCCGTAGGTCATTTGGTACCAGGCCGCACAGAAAGATTGAATGCAAAAATATTTTATTGATTATCAGTCTGAAAGATGTTTTATTTAGAAAAATAACCGGATACATCCGTCTGTGCATCTGTGTCTCTTGACACATTACCATCGGTCAAGACGCTCGTCACAGTCTCATGATAGTTCTCTCTGCTGAGTGTGTTTGTCTGCCGGACAGCGGTGCTTATGGTTACTGCAAATGTTGTTTATTTTCTCCGTAAAAAAGTGCCGAAGAGGCATTCCGGTGCGCTCCGGCAGCACTACAGCCCTGTATCCCCCTATACTTTGAATGGCGGTCCGTGTAAATCTGGTCTTACATGAAACCGGTCCGTGGCGCAAAAAAAGGTTGGGGACCGCTGATTTATATGACAGCATTTAATCTTTTTCTGTAACGGCGATCAACCATGAGGTCCTTTTTTTTTTAGAAGTTGCAATTACATCTAGAGTTGGAGAGTCCTGGCTGTTGTGTTCTGCAGATACATACCGTCAAAAGGTTTGCGTCCAGTTGCAACTTCCCAGAGGACGATTCCAAGGCTGAAGGGCAACATTTCAAAGTTATCGTACAGCAGTGAAAACAAACATGCAATGTCTGAATTAACCTGATGTCCAGAGTGACGGTATCTGACCTGTAAACCTCACACTCTTTGCTGTAGTTGTTAATGTGTTCCAGCAACTCAGGAGAGGAGTAGGTGAAGGACCTGTTCACCCCGCCCCTCGTTGGCTTTCTCAGAGACGTCTCAGTTTGTGAAAACTCAAAGCCTCCCAGCTGAAAACCACACCAAGACTTTATTAGTTTCCCCCAACGCCAATCATTGGACAGTCAGCAATCCCAGCATGCACCAGTGTCCGTACCTTGACTGTGTAGCCGTCAGCTACCAGAAAATTGCTGCTGTTGATGCATCCATGAACTTTAGATTTATCTTCAGACTGGTGCAGTCTAAAAATGACACAGATGTTATCATCATGAAGGTACATTTTATCTTTTAAATTGAATTGAATTGAATTCCTTTATTGTCATTGTACAGGTACAATGACATTTAAAAAGCAGTCAGTGCATAACAAGCAATAATGAACAGGGCATAAAATAAATGATTGTGTTATTCTAACCGGTAAAGTCCCAGCGCTGCGTCGCGGCACATACGAGCTTTCTGGTTCCAGCTCAGTGTGCAACCAGAGTCTAGAACCTCCCGCAGACTTCCCTTCTCACAGTACTCCATGATGATGAGAAACTGAGGTTTAGGTCCTGCAGGAAGTCACAAGGCAACCTCACATTATTGTCATTTTAAAGGAGTGGTGCAGGAATTATGTATTTTTGTAGGTAGGTTGGACCAATAAATGCAATTGCCAGAAGAAAAAAGCTAATGTTAGGCTATAAAGGAACTACAGCACGGTCACATGACTTCACGTCACCACCGCTAAGCTAAAGGCGGCTAATGTTAGGCTATAAAGGAACTACAGAACGGTCACATGACTTCACGTCACCACCGCTAAGCTAAAGGCGGCTAATGTTAGGCTATAAAGGAACTACAGAACGGTCACATGACTTCACGTCACCACCGCTAAGCTAAAGGCAGCTAATGTTCACAGGGATGACGTGTATTACTCTTATTTAGTCATATTTTAGTTTTAGGACATTCTCCAGTGGGGTATTTACTGATGTATTTTGTGTCTAAGAACCAAAGTCTCTTCAGCTTGTGTTAACCACAGACCTTGACTTTAAGACAAGGAAATCAGACAAGCTACAATGCTGACTCATTTCCGGGTTTGAGGACTCATTGCTGCACCACTCTATATTCAGAATTGTATATGCTACAGTCCACTCACCCGTCTCATCCTTGAAACAGATGCCAAACATTCGCAGGATGTTGGGCGACTGAAACGCTTTCATGGTTTCCACATCCTTTTCGAAACATCTTTTCACCTCCCTATATGTCAGTGGCATTGAGGAAGAAGAAAAAAAAAGGAACGGTAACAGACATGCTGTATCTCCTCCAGCTTGTCTTAAAGGTGAATAAATCCACCAAAAGAACCAAATGATGAATGCAATTAGGAAAAAGGAAATTGGTATTGTCGTGAAATGTGCACAGACCTTATGTTGGTGGTCGCAGGGTCAGTGTATCTCTTGATGGCCACTGGGAAACTACGGTACTCTCCTCTGTAGACCTCTGAGGTTGGCGTTGTCCTGAAGGGCTTCTTGGTCAGGCCGTCAACATGCTCGTATTTAAGATCCTGCTGTTTGATGATCTGGATGCCCACATCGTAGGGCTTCTCCACTGTGAAAACATGGTTCATAGTTTGGGTCAGGATTTGTAATGTAAGTCCATTATTCTATCTCTTTTAGCTCTGGTTTTGGTTTCCTCCAACTACTAAGGCAATATAAATGTATTTATATAGTAGGTTTCAACAAC